CCCTACTCCAGTACTTCTCGGCTCTTTTGAGAGTGGACATAAGTAATGAGAAATACCGTTCGCCGGGATCGATCCCTGGGCCTTTCGATTGTCGTCTGTTCGGAATACGAGCGGAGATTCGTTGTTCTTAGGCTGAATGAGAGCGAATCAATGGAGCTCGTCGGTCCCGTTGTGGCGCAGGGTCGTAAGGAGTTCATCGAGAAGTGGTTGAGCGAGGATAAGCTGACCTGCACTGAACAACTAGGGGACATGGTCAAGCCCCTGGACACAAAGCTCGCCCTGTCGGTCTTCCTCCGAGCCCAATGCCACGATAAGGTCATTGCTTGCTTCGTGGCTGCTGGTGAGTACGAGAAGGTGGTCCAGTACGTGAAGAGAGTTAACTATGCTAATGCTGATTACGGTGGGATGCTGAGGACCATCGTTGCCACTAATCCTGAGGGAGCGGTGAAGTTTGCTAAGGGTCTGCTGGACAACAACCCGCCTCTGATTGATATCAACAAGGTAGTCCGAAGGTCAGTGTGTAGGTAGGCGTATAATGATGTAGGTCGTGGACTCATTCATGGCTCTTGGGAAGCTCCAGGAGACGACGTCAGTGCTCTTGGATTACCTCAAGGATGATAAGCCTGAGCAAGGACAGCTTCAGACCAGACTGTTAGAGATGAACCTTATGCAGGCCCCTCAGGTGGGAGGAGAGCTTCGGTGACTTTGTTATCCCTGACTCCTGGCCCTATTCAGGTGGCAGAGGCTATATTCCAAATGAACATGTTGAGCCACTATGATCGTCAGCACATCGCTATGATGTGTGAGAAGGCTGGTATGTATCAGCGAGCGTTGGAGCACTACACGGACATCTCTGATATAAGGCGTTGCATGTTGCATTCACACGATATGTCTCCTGAGTTCCTCACCAACTACATTGGGAAGGTGGGAGATCCGGTTTCGAGAAAATGCAAGGTTGGGAGCGTTTGTAGGTTCTCGGCAACGGCACGGAGAATTCAAAGGGTGTGGCTTTGGAGTTGATCGAGGATATGCTGCGTTATAACAGACAACAGAACACCCAGGTTGTTGTACAAGTGGCCATCAAGTAGTACTCTCTAACTCTTCCCATTAAGTCGGGTCTTGAATATATAACTCTTATACTGTGGTGTATATGAGTAGCGCGAGTTGTGGTATGGGCTAGCATTAGGTACCACGAGCAGTTGGAAGTTAATAAGCTGGTGGCAATTTTCGAGAAGTATCAATGTTGGGAGGGAATGTTCTTTTTCTTGGGCGGGATACTGTCGAGCAGTCAAGATCCTGATGTCCACTTCAAGTAAGAAAAGCAGTATGGCGGGGCGGTATGGTAGGATCGTTGCTTCATTGTAGATATATAGAGGCAGCTGCTAAGCTGGGTCATATGCAGGAGGTTGAGAGGGTTGTTCGAGAGAGTCAATACTATGACCCTGTGAAGGTGAAGGACTTCCTTAAGGAGGCTAAACTGCAGGACCCGAGACCACTTATTTATGTCTGTGATATGCATGGCTATGTGGAGGAGCTTACTGACTACCTCTATTCAAACAACCTTATGAAGTAATGGAAGATATGTTGAGATTGGGATGGTATGAACATGAGTGAATTTGGTATCAGGTATATCGAGGTTTACGTGACCAAGGTGAATCCATTGAACTGTCCCACTGTAGTCGGGACGTTGATCGATAGAGACTGCTCTGAGGACTACATAAAGAACAGCATCCTCGGCAATGTGAGCAGCACCAGCATATGGCCATTAGCACGTCCTCGTCATTATCACCCATCAGCAGGTCCGGTCTCTGTGCCCAGTGGAACCCCTTGTAGAGACTGTCGAGAAGCGTAACAGGCTACGTCTGCTGCAGCCTTGGTTGGAAGCTCGCCTGGCTGAGGGCAATCAGGTAGGTTTATTCTCTCCTATGTGACGTGCTTGAGCCTGGGTCGTGCTACCTTGCACATTGGTGTAATGCCTCACGAAGTTATCAGTATCGCTTTGGAAGGGAGCTCGTGAGCGACTTGAATGATATCTGTTATTGGCTTCCTGATTTTCTATGTGGTTTTGATTTTTAGGAGCCATCTCTTCATAATGCTCTTGCGAAGATCTACATAGACTCCAACAAGGACCCCGAGGCTTTCCTCAAGAACGACTCTTACTACGACTCAGCCGTAGTAGGCGCCTACTGCGAGGATCGTGACCCTCATCTAGCCTACATTGCCTATAAGAGGTATGCTGTCCAACGACTGTAATGTGAGGAATGCCCTTGGTGGTCTCTTTAGAGCTTGGGGTACTTGTGATGACCAACTCCTTCGTGTCACCAACAACAACGGTCTGTTCCGTCTCCAGGCCAGGTGAGATCGCTAGTGTCACCATCTTGCATCGGTTATGCTGGGGTGTAGGTATCTAGTGGAGCGACAGAGTCCCGAGTTATGGGCTAAGGCTTTGGCTGATGATAACCAACATAGGAGGCATGTCATTGACCAGGTCGTCAGTACGGCTTTGCCGGAGAGCAAGAATGCTGATGAGGTGAGCGGCGGCGGCGTTGCATTACCTAGCTACCAAGTATTGATAGCTCTCGCTTGGGCTTAGCCATCGATCGTTGTGTGTTCGGAGTTTGCTTATTCATACTGCGATGCAGCATGTGTTTCACATAATAGGTTACTGCAGCTGTGAAGGCATTCATAGACGCCGATCTACCTAATGAGCTTATCGAGCTTTTGGAGAAGATAGTTCTGCACAACTCAGACTTCTCTGACAACAGAACGCTGCAGAACCTGTTGATCCTCACAGCGATCAAGGCGGTAGGCCGGCCATCACAGTGGAACTGATGGTTATTGAGGCTTCTCCTACGATCAGGACAAGTCTCGTGTGATGGACTATGTGCATCGTCTTGATAACTATGATGGTCCTGAGATTGCTCTCATCGCTATGGGGGATCCTTATAATCTGTAATACCCTATACGGTTCATCATCATCTGCTACTATAATTTCGGATTTAGATATGAGGAAGCCTTCGAGATCTACAAGAAGTGTGGTATGAATGCCGAGGCTATGGATACACTACTCACCAACTTGGACGATGATGAGGGTTCTGGTTTAGAGAGAGCTAAGGACTTTGCTAGCAGGGTCAACGAGCCTCAGGTAGAGGGTGCTTGTATCGGATCTCGAAGACTATCATTGCCTTGGTTTAGGTTTGGTATAAGCTGGGAGCCGCACAGCTTCGACATGGCGTGTGTGCTATGATACCCGAGGCTATCGATAGTTACATTAAGGCTGGTGATGCTACTGACTATATGGAGGTAGGGGAATTGCTGAGGACGTGGTTGTGGATGATGGTCATGGTCTGGGTGTCCTGCAGGTCATCGCAGTAGCAGAGCGTGAGGAGTGCTATAATGATCTGATCAAGTATCTCCGTATGGCTCGGACCAAGCAAAAGGACAGCTACATTGACTCGGAGTTGCTCTACTCGTTGGCCAAGTGCGATGATAGGATGGACGAACTTGAGGACTTCCTCGATGCCACTAATACTGCTAATGTAGCCTTGTTGCAGCAGAGTGTAGTATTAGCCTATGAGTCTTGTGGATAGGTCCAGAGTGTTGGGGATCGTCTCTATGGGGAACGGCTCTATAAAGCGGCTAAGGTGAGATGGAGGTTGTCGCTCATCCAGTGGTGGAATTACAATGTCCTCAGGTGCTTTTCCAGTCTATACCAAACAACGCCAAATTGGCGTCCTGTTATGTCAACTTGGGCGACTTCTCGGCCGCTATCGAGGCTGCTAAGAAGGTGATGAGGACTCCCTTGCGAGCGGTCATGATGGGAATGTGGGCTTTCAGGCGAAGAACCCCCGCACTTGGAAGGAGATCTGCTTTGCCTGTGTTGCTGCTGAGGACTTCCGCTCAGCTCAGACTGCTGGCTTGCATATCATCATCCATCCTGACCATCTAGAAGAGGTTATTGAGGTTGGTTTGTATTCCTGTGGTCTACCGCTTACGTCATTGTTACGGCAGGTATACGAGAATGCTCAACGTTTCGAGGAGTTGATGGCCTTGCTGGAACTGGGCATCACAAATTCTGATGAGGCTCACTACGGCATGTAGGAGATAGATTTGGTCGTGTGGCGGAGTTTTTCATCGGGATCTATGCTAGGTTCACCGAGCTTGGAATTTTATATGCGAAGCATAAGAAGGGTAAGTTGATGGACTTTGTCAAGAGTAACACATCTAGACTCAACATACCTAAGCTCATAAGGTGGGTCGGCGGCTTCGCTCCGCTAAGGGTTGTGATTTTTGACCTTTGTAGGGCGTGTGAGGCGAACTTCCTTTGGAAAGAGGCTGTGTATCTGTACGTATCGTATGATGAGTACGACTCAGCTGCTAACACCATCATTCAGCACAGCCCTACGGCGTGGTCACAGGTAACAGGTTCGGGCGGAGTTGTAGTCGGACACTGTGTCTTGGCAGGATTTATTCCAATCGGTGATGAGTAAGGTCTCCAACTCCGAGATCTACTACAGGGCTATCAACTTCTACCTCGACGAGCATCCTCTACTATTGAGCGACGTAGGGGAGTGGTTACCAGAGTATTGATTTAGTGACACTCTGTGGCTCAGTTGCTGGTCGCGATCCAGGCCAAGTTGGATCACGCTCGTGTGGTCCAGCATGTCCGTAAGGCAGGCCATTTGCCCTTGATACAGGACTACATGGCCGCAGTACAGCCCAATGCCAATATACCCCAGGTACGGCTCTCTCTTTGGAGAGGAGTTCATTTTTGTCCTCCTTAGGTCAATGAAGCGTTGAATGAATTGTTGGTAGAGGAGGAAGATGTGGACAGTCTTCGCAGCTCCATCGAGCACTACGATAACTTCGACCAGATCGCCCTCGCCCAGAAGTAGGAAGTCGTACTGTTGACTTTGGTCGTATCGTTCTGGTCGTCAGGTTGGAGAATCATCACCTCATTCAAATGCGCCGAATCGCCTCTACTTTGTACAACCAGAACGGGAGGTGAATCGACCTAGTTATTCTGATCCCTATCATAACTTGGCATTGACAGGTTTAAGCAAAGCATTGAGCTTTCGAAGAAGGACGGTATGTTCACTGACGCTATGGAGTCTGCCAGAGAGAGCGGCAGCCGAGACCTCGCTGAGGGCCTCTTGCGGTAGGCAGTTACCATCATTTTTCTATGGCAGACAGTCCGTTCTTTCTTAGCTACTTCGCAACCTCCGAAGATGTACCATGTGGCCGTGAGTGCTTCTCGGCGTGTCTGTACACCTGTTATGAGTTGCTGAGGCCTGATGTAGTGATGGAGCTAGCTTGGAAGAAGGGCTACATGGACTTTGCTATGCCGTAAGTCACCCACCGATTTAAGTGATTCAGCCGTCTATTGTAGGTATATGATTCAGTTGATGAGGGATTATTCCAACAGGATCGAGTCTCTTGAAAAGAAGTAGGTTATCGATTGTTTAGATCATTGACGGAGATCTCTGACCGCAGGACGGAATCGTTGGCTGAAGACAAGAAGTCAGCTCCTAACGATTTCGTGGAGTCCAATCCTCTTGGTCTTGGCGGGCCTGGTGGTCACTTGGCATTGATGGGCCCAGGGTGAGTGCTAGCATAACATGTATGAGTCGAAAGTGTCCCTCCTTGTCAGCGGTGCTACCCCGTCATCATCCCCCCAGCTTGGCGGTGTGATTCAGGGAAATTTCGGTGGGATCCCGAGCTCGATGGGCGCTATGGGAGCGAGCGGCAATATTACGCCTCCCACTTTCCCGCCTCGCCAACCCTCGTCGACGTCGAATCTTGGAAACTTCCAGCCCCCTACTTTCCGATGAAAGTTAAAGTGTACACACCCGGAACTGTGTAGTTCTAGTTATGGTGTAGTGTTGAGGAAGTAGACTATTTTCCATTCGCAACACCGTTCCATGTTGAGTTTGTCCGAGTGTGATGAGGTTTAAGGATATGCAGACGAAACCATTCTAGACATAAGTTTCGATCGGTAAATTTCTGGATACAAAATTGGGTATACTACCTCGCAGCTTGCAAGGATTGGGGCGTGGTTGCTGATTCTGTATGAATCTCTCCGCGCTGTGTTGTCGAGGAATGGAATTTAATCAAAACACGATTCTGTCTATTCCGACAGGCAAGTCAGAATGGTGCCTAATCGTCGGCACGAACACTCAACAGGACGAACAACTTGGCGCACGCCCAAAAATAAAATAAAAAAAACCTCGCTCGCCCTAAATTCCTCTTAATGCCCGGGTGTCATTTCAATCACGGTTCAAGTCCTGAAATAAGATACAAGTCCGCATTAAGGTCCGCCTCGCCCAGGCCCTGGGTCCCAGAGCCTCTAGGTAACAGGGCCACAAAATCTACTTGCCTCCACTGGAGTCATGTGTAACCGACGTTCAGCACTAGTTGAAGTTGAAGTCACTCCACACTACCCCACCACACGAACTCTCTCTCAACATGAACACATCAGAGTTCGGACGGAAACACAAACCACAATGCACTTTCACGCTACATATCGATCTCCACGAGAAAAATTCATAGTCGACTCGATACTATCGAGCCAATCAAGGCCTCAATCGAATTCAAGACTTCCCTAATCTCCCTACGTTTGCATTCACCTTCGGGGAAAGATCTCCGACACACCGTTCCTCGCGCAACGAGTTGCATGACGATGCAGTCGCTCTTCGTCGTACTCGGCAAAGTACCATATGCTTGACAAGCCGTCTCTAGGGGGATTCAGTGCAGCCTCAGTTGCCCAAGCTAGGACGAGCAATCCACCGTTATGCTTCTCGACGTTCTCTTGCTGACATGGTACTGCGGTCACTGTAGTATAGCGTGGATACAACTGTCTTACTATCTCCAACACCTTGGCTGGAATGTAGCTGCCTCCGTGAACAGGGTCGAGGTAATACACTTCTGAGTCCCCAGCAGCAGACTCGTTATCCTGCAGCAGCAGACCGAAGTAGTTGTCGACATAAACAGGCTGCACGTTCACCCCTCTTCTTCGCGCAGGGTATCTATGGTACCATAGGCATTCTACCTCGGCCACACGGAGAGGAGGGCATCGTGAGACGTACTCACTCACGCGAGACAACATAGCCATCCAGGCATCAATATCTTCGTCGGAGGTCATCATTGCGTGTATGCAAGAATAACCACTGCGTCATCGGCAGTCACCCGACATTGAAGCACCTCATCGCACAGTCAGGATTGCTGCACCTCTGCATCTGAGCGTAATTCTGGCACTTCCAGCGATTCAATTTAGCGAGATAGACAGCCCCTGGCTACACCTCAGGTTTCGCCTTTGGCCGCATGCTAGCTCATGACGCACACGACATCTACACCCGGGGTTCACAACCTGCAGCCTCACAAAGCCCGCATCAATTACGTGATCCGACTGGGCGCGAATCGCGCGATGGTTCAGTGTTGGGGGAGGTCTGCTTGGTCGACCATGCACGTGGTCGGTACCTTGTGTGTGGCTCCCATGCCTATAGTCTCAATAATCCTTCGCGACGACCGGAGCATACTTCCTACTGGCGATGCGTGGGCTACAAAAAGGGTCTCGGTTGCGGTGGTCGTGCAAAAGTCGTGGGCGCTCTACACGGGCCAGTGGCCGACTTATGGGTCGAGGCCACACCGGCGGAAAAGCATACATGCACTGCAACTGGATTGGGCAAGATTCTTCTCGATAAGATGTGTCGCAAGGCTCAGGAACTCCGCCTCAATCAACCGGCTTGGGACGCTTTCCGAGATCTAGTGCCCGACTGTAGTGACGCCCAGCTGCAGCAACTGCCAACCAAGAGCGGAGTTTACCAGAAGTTGAACAAGGAAAAGCGGCGAGCTCTTGCGTTGCCCAATCCCCCACGGAGTCTCACGGGCTTCGCGCTCCCGCCGGAGTTCTGCAGTACCAAGGTAGGCGGCGAAGCGGTCGACATGTTGCTGTGGGATTCTGGAAGCACAGACGATGAGCGAGTTTTGATTTTCTGGGACCAGTGCACTCTCCGACGTTTACTTTCGAATAACAATGTACTACATATTTGCCTTGACGGCACATTTTCCGTCTGTCCACTGCGTTTCGCGGTGCAAGTAACTGTACTAGTGCAACATGCCTGTGGTAGATTCCTTCCAATCTTTTACTGTGTTGCTCCGAACCGCAGTGTACTTACTTATACTAAGATCCTACAGCGTGTTGTTCCGAAACTCGGTGGCCCTTCGCGAGTTGCCAGTACTATGAGTGACATGGAGCCCGCCCTACTATCAGCGATTAGGACTGTGCTTCCGTTGTCGTCTATAACCGTATGCTATTTCCACTGGACCCAAGCTGTATTCCGTAAATTTCGTCGTGTGTTCCCTTTCATGTGCTACGGTAATGATCACAAGGACCCGAAAGTGCGAGAAGCGTATGAAACGTTCTACACTGTGGCCTGTGTTCCTTTCTTGCCCGTCTCGCTCACCGCTGTTGCATTCGAGGCTGCTATTGGAGGCTTGCCGCGACGTGAGCGGAATATTCTATCGGGATATCTCCACCGAAAGTACGGATTGGGGAAGCAGGTCGGCCCAGCCGTCTTGAACCTGCGGGCGAGGGTTATGTCCTCTAGAGGGAGGACGAATAACGCACAGGAAGGGTTCCACATGGGATGGGGTCGGAGGTTCGCGAAGACCTCCCGTCCCCACCTGTGGGTCTGGGTGGATGCGGTAAGGCGGATCATCAGCGAAGTATATGCTGACGCTGTCATGTATGATCGCGGTGACGCATGGTATCGGAAGCCTGAATACGTTGCGCTTGACGCCAGGCTGCAAATTCTTTGCGGCCGTCCGGTTGACGAACCTGATCTCCATGAATGGTTCAAGCTCGCCCGTGGAGTCGTCAGGGGAGCAGTCAAGCACGCTACTCAGTGCAATAACGACGATGTCGACATCAACTCCGATGACGATGATGATGATGATGGTAGTGCAGAGCAGGAGTTCAGCTACGGTGACGATATGAAGCCTAGCCAGAACAGCTCCACTCAAGTTGGAGGCGATCATTCTTCGCACTGCCCGGGGAAGCGTCAGCGGGTGGATATTACCAGTCAGGATGTGACACTTGAGTCCCGCGCACCGGTGTCCCCTGATGACGAACCTCCTCAGCCTTCTGTATATTCTGATGCTGGTCTATCCTCTTCAATCGTGGACTTGTTTCACAAGACTGCTAACCACCGTTCCCAACCATCACCAAGCGCATCGACCGGTAAGGTTGAAGCTGCATCCCAAGGATCGGTGCCTCAGCGGCCGAAGCCGAACTCTCAGTGTTCGGCGGAGGAACCCAATGCATCAACAGAGGAGCTCGATGGATCGCCTGAGTGTAGGCCATCGTCCTCAACCGCGTCGCCTAACTGGTTGGTGCATGATACTCTACTTGGCGAGTTCCGTCTCACTGTGCTGGATCGTCACGACTTAGCTTCACCTTGTACCGAAATTTCCGACATGGCTGTTGGTACCTGGATGGCCCTACTGTGTACTAGGTGCTTATGTTTGCTGCAGTTTCCTCCGATAACTCCAGCATCATTAGAGGTTATGAAAACACAGCTTGAGGGCATTCCGAAAGCTCCTAGCCTCAGCAATGCACCCTTGATCATCCAACCCTTATACGACTATGGAGCTAAGCATTTTGCCCTCGCTGTCAGGAATCACGAGGGACTAGTGCTATATCTCGATAGCGCACTGGGTATGAACGCGATTCCTGGACCTATGCGTGAAGTGATGACCGCTATCTTCGGCAAAGGTACAAAGTGCGTATGTTTGCGCACACAACAGCAGACACCCGGATCTGCAAACTGCGGCCTCTTCACATTGGCGTGGGCGACAGAGTACGCCCTCCAACGAGCGACTGTCGATCCGGAGAAGGCCACTTACGATGAGGAAAAAATGCGGGATCATGCGGTTCGTTGTCTGCAGGAGAAGAGATTAAAGCCATTCCCACGAAAACGCGGAAGGCCCGGCAAAAACAACCGTCTTCAGGGCCGGATGGATATCGAGCTGTAGGCTGGAAGTGTCAATCATACAGTTTCTTCACAGTTTCGTGTGTGTTATTATGAATGTGGATGTTTCTGAGCGTGAACGTCTTCTGTTGCGTTTTTCTGCCAATGTTCGTCCAACTCAGTGTTCGTCCATTCGAGATGTTCGTCCATAGGACTTTATCGATTGTGTGGGCGTGCGCTAACATGTTCGTCCCTTTGATTGTTCGTCCATCTGATTCACAACCGTCAGAATTTGACACATGGAATGTGTAATGTTATTTATACGAAATGGACAACTCAGACGGACGAACTGCTCGCGAGTTTTCATAGGTTAATTAAAGCAACTTCCGATATAGTCTAGCTGGTTAGGATACCTGGCTTTCACCCAGGCGACCCGGGTTCGAGTCCCGGTATCGGAATAACTTTTCGCTTAATTTCTTGTCGCCTTGCGAGCTTTTCGAATCGGATGACTCCGTATCGTTTGGTGCGGCCAATTCCGAGTCAGTTCCCAGCATCTGGTTCTATTCGATTGAGAAAGCGCACACTCCTCGGATACAACTAGCATCATCATACACATCGCACAGCGATACTCCAAGTTCAGCTCGCCTACCAAGCGATGCAACGCAAATGGCGGTGACGTTGTCCGAATCAAGTCCACTCGATATGTGATGAGCGATTATGATGATTACCAAGCTTTTGTGATGATTATATTGACACCTGTTTCACTCGAAGAGACTTGTCCGAGCGTAAAGGCACTTTTCAAGTGAATGACGGAATAATATATATACCTCTAGAATGCACTCGAGAGAGCATAGAAATCAAAACCTCGCATCACAGATCCCTTGAATATGATCTCCAAAGTCCAATGAAATTATATGACTGACCACGCAACACAAGCCAGGAATCCCTCTTGCAAGCTGAGTTTGCTGCCACGCCCAAGTTCCTTGGAACCAATGGTATCCGCATCAAAGCTGCTTAGATGATACCGATCCTGTTACCCACATCAAGGGCATCGAAGTCATCAGCCAACTTGACGTAAGCCTTCTTGAGACCATCGTGACGCACCAAGGTGTTCACCTTCTTGCACTTGATGTCGTAGAGAGACTCAACGGCATCACGGATCTGCTGCTTGGTGGCCTAAAACAATTGCCTATTTGCCAAGAACTATTTCATAAACCCAAGTTGATATTACCTGAATGTCGCAAAGGAAGACCAAAGTGTTGAGGTCCTCAATGTGCTTCATGGCCCACTCGGAGGTCATAGGGGAGCGGATGATACGGTACTTGTCCATCTTAGTCAAGGTGGGGGTAGCGGAACGGGGATACCTAAATGATGAATAACAATCATTGACTCGGTGGTACGAGGATCCAATACTAGCAGCATAGTTATTACTTAGGAGCCTTAGGAGTCTGACGAGTCTTAGGCCTGAAGAAGGTAGTGTTCTTCCTGACCTTGCGGGTCTTGACCTGCACACCCTTGGTGAGGGCGGCACCGGTCTTAGACGCCTTCGATTTAGCGTCAGTAGTAGGGGCCATCAAGGTAGTTCTGGTTGGGCAGCAACAAGCTAGATGAACACGATCATCATCATCACATCGGTACCAAGACCACAATATATTTCCCAACCTCCGAAGAAGAGACGGTACATAGGTCTAACGCACCCATCGGCGCGGTCTACGTCATCACGACTTACAGATCCTCATGCACACTGTGAGAAACGACAACCACCGATCACTCACTCACCACTCCTCTAGCATCCAATCCCTCCTGCGCACGCTGAGGAGCCGCTTACCGCAAGGATTAGGGTCTGCGCCACGATATCGATCAAATCCACAGCGACTTTTGACAGTAGCGCACGCCAAGTTGATCGATTCGGCTCTTGATTCAGAGCCGATAGAGCATGTGGAGGACTACGACATTGCTAGGGTTTCACTCTGTATTCCTTGTACTAAATGGTGAAGAAGTCCATCAAGAAGGAACGTCGGAAAATATTAGCCCAGACGCAGGAGAAGTGCCTCCAACGTAATGATGTGGGAGGATTTCACTAAGGCAATTCATTTTCACAATACTCGAAAGCCATTACAATAGTCCTGTTAATACTGTACGACATCATCTGTAGCAAAGGACAGTTCTACCAGTGCGTGAGATCAACATATTTGCGCAAGCTTGCCAGAGGCCTCTCGAGAGGTTGTTTTGCTGAGATCTCTTGTAGGCCTTGAAAGCTCATACGAGGGATATCTTATCTAAAGACACTCAGTTCATAGCCATTGCCAAAATCACAGAGGCTACAGTAAATGAGCAGTTTGTTATCGCACTGCTGGAAGCATATGCTAGTGAACTAACCGCTCGGATCTTCATCCACAACGACATCATCGTTGGCTCCATAGAGAAATAGGCTCAGAAGTGTCCTCATTTGAGCTCTATTTACATTTACGCATGGTCGGATCGCTTCGCTCAATGATATGCAGAAATGAAATTCTCATTCGCATAGACCGTCGTGGTTCTCTAGTGCTTTGGATGGCGTAGGTCATAAGACGGGTAATGTGGAGAAGATACCGGAGGGGGATGTACATATACCTAACAAGTGGAAACGACAAGAGCTCGTAGGGGTGATGCTGGCTAAATGTGAAGGAAATGTGGTATGACAGGTTGGACGGCAATATCGGGAGAAGAAGAAGGTCAAGCGGGAGACTAGGAAGCAAAGACAGGAGGCTAGAGCCAGAGGAGAGGAGGTAGTAGTAGCATTAGGAAGGTAGTCGATGATAGGACCAACTGGACAGGTGGACGTACCTGTTACCACTACTATCGAGATGATGAGGGAGGCCGACGTCACTATGCTACCTCCTGAGGGCGATGATGAGGTTAAAGCTGATGAGAGGATGGATGAATTCAGGTACTTCAGTGATGTCTAATATCCGGTCATAAGCGGTATATATTTATAGACCTTTGCCCTTTATTGACGCCTCCATGGCATACTACATTATTATCATCATATTTATAAATAGTTGTATCCCTTCAATGGAGTTTCACCGCCCTAGTGATATGAAAAACACCAGTGAAAAACATATTTCGCGACTACTTCATACCGCAAATATCGCGTTTTTCACCGAGCTTTATGCCACTTCACCTAAAACGGGTGAAACTCCAGTGATATACCAAATAGTTTACAATATTTTAATGGTTGTCAAGGGAGTTTCACCCGTTTGACGTGGCGAAATACTCCATGTAGGGCGTATCAGCTCATGCTTCCGCGACCGACTACGCAATTGTTTTCAGCGAAGTGAATTGTGTAATATGTTTTTCAGCAATGTTTTTCATGTCACGGGTGAAACTCCAATGTTATAACATTGTAATAAGCAATTTTAAAATAACGATCGCTAATAGGTTCTACTCGATTGAAAGTTTGTTATCGTCAACATCTACCGTAATCTGTTATCGATACGATTATCGACATCATATTATCATTTTTATATTACTAATTATTACCCATATGGAACAGTATCTCGCCAAAGGTATGATGCCCTCCTGCTGCTATTGGCACATAGCTTACTAGCTTTCAGCTAGTGAAGACACATAGCCCTAGCACACTGAGGGCATCGGGCGATGACTAGTCGTTCGGTTGGGCATGTTAGGACTGCCTATCTCGGAGGGTATAGGTTGATGCCTTTTCAGACACACCTTCCCGACGCCCCCTCCCACCAGCGAGGTCCTGCCCCCACCAGCAGCAGCAACAGTCCTGTCCACGCCGAGTACGGTAGCTACCTCGGTGGAAGGGGAGGAGGAGGAGGAGGAGGAGGAGAGGGAGTCTGTAGAGCCCAAGATAATGCTCACTACCTCCATGGCTGTAATATGGAAAAATAGCGGGTGTGGGAATCGAACTTGGGACCTTCCTGATGGGGGCGAGCATTCTATACGTTGTCAGTATCCCTCCGAGCGATCATACGGTCTCATCAAAGAGCTGGTGGAAGTGGTGCCGGGCCTGCAGTACTTCCGGAAAAAGCATTTTCCTATCACCAAAATTTGCGACTTTGCCAACAACAGAGGATTCACAGCAGTCGTGGTAAGCTGGGGCGGACTTCCTCACTCACCAAATCTGACCGCCTCTATGCGTGGAAGGACGGCTTAGGGGAAACTCGCGTTAAGGCTTGTACGGACTAAAAGTGTCGCTACTACAGGAGGTCTCAGGTTGGTCATTCGCACCTGCTACTAGCTGAATTATAGTGCAATCTGTGGTCTCGAATGGCGGTATTGACATGGACAGTTTAGATATGCTCATTAATTGTATGTGTAGGTATTATCGGAGGATAGGAAGCACGAGCCATCCTCGCTTCATATCACCAGTCTACCTGAAGGCCCTACTAGTTATTGGAGGCTAACTAGTTTGGAACTGGGAGCAGATATGAAGCATGGAGCTACATGTAATAGGTCCGGCGGGTATAGTGGGATGTCACTGAAGGTGTATTCAGGTAACCCGGATGACCGTCCTGAACTGCTGTTGAATGGTTTTGGTACGAGGCTTGGTCACAGAGTAGGAAGGCAAATTGGAAGCCTTTTTGGTAGGCATATCTCCTCGTACCTTACTAAAGATAAGGGCATCTTGTTGGTGGTGGTGAATGGTCGTTCCCAGTTGGTGTAGTGAATTGTCCAACGAGACGTTAACCTCCTGAATAGTTACCCGAAAATTCACGTTAAGTCGCTACGTATCTTCTTAGTAGTGGCTATCATCGTTATATCATAATTTACAGTATCGGATTTGCTCGTCCATATATGTTCGATCAGCTGGCTTTGATCAGGTGCTATCCAGCCGGACTTCAAGGGCCGAAGAGTAGTCGCATTCCACAACCAACGGGACTTCGTATTCTTCCGCCACTACCGGTAGTAGTTGATAATTTCGTGGCGCGCGGTCAACAATATATCAGCACTTAGTCGTGATATCTCAGGTACGTCTTCCGAGATCTCGAGAGTACCGACAAGGATGATCGATGTGCCTTGCAAGAAATAGGTCCCCGGTTCACGCTCAAGCTGAGGTCATTGCAGCTAGGCCTGTTCGCCAAACGTAATGGGGAGGATGAGTTCGAGCGCATCAATGAATATACAGTAACTATGTAGCGGATAAGTTTGATATAGACGCCTCTTCCTACGATGGTCGAGTTTATCTGATGCCAATGGAGGTTGTTCGTGTGTGCATCCTTCCTCCATTAGGTACGGGGGAGTATGAGTATGTATGGAGACCCGACTCTCAGGTCAGCCGGAAGGTCTTTGCTCTATAGTTCTCCTCATCACATTACCAACGTTTCTTTTCTGCGCACTTAAGGAGTTATCGTGTTAAATGTAGTGGAAAGTTGGTATAAATACATGAGCATCTCGATGATTGAACACAAATCGCGTTACGCAATAGTAGTAGAAGAATCTTGGTATTGTGAACTGGTGATGCTGACGGAAGGTGCAGATTGAATTATGACGTTGTCGTCTATGACTGCTGTGAATGTGTGGGAGGATCTGTGAGTGCAACTCCAGCAAATAACGGCAAAAACGGAATCCCAATATCTCGATAATAATCACTGATAGCTGTCCATCATCTGTGTGATGAGGAAGTAACTCGAAGCCTCGGTGCAACTTCGCGACTCCATCCTTTTTTCGCTACGAATCTATGCATCACCCGAGGTGATGAAAGCGCATACAGCAGTGCTTTATGTGCCGCGATAGTGGACAGTGTATTTGCCATACAAGTGTAGCGTATATTATCAATAGTCTTCCTGTCACAGGAAGATGGCCCTTATACCAGGCTACGAACGCGAGGTATTATCATCTTCAACGAGAACGGGCACGACTCGAGTAGTAATACATGTTACATGATACTGACTGCTAGCAGAGAACTGCCGAATCACACTGTAAATTGACTTCTCATTCACAAGTTTCTCGGCTCCGGATAGCCATCGTAGAGAGGCCGCGTTCGCTCGGTAGTGCCTGAGGCTAAGGTCGTCGATCATAGCCGTGCATTCGGAGCCTACCCATACGCCGTTCAGAGGAGGGGCCTGCGGTGTTGAGCTCCTCCACCATGAGAGTAGAGCTTTGTGTGAGGTCATGAGTGTTAGACGACGTGACTGGATGCCTAGCACCGCAGCATGTGGTAGCGATAAATATTGAAGTAGCATACCCTAGGCCCAACGAAGGGGGCATGCCGTAGCCCTGTCGTCCGAAACCGGCCTTGATCAGACCGGATACCTTGTCGCCGGGCAGCTGATCAGTCCAGGAAGTGGACAATTTCGTGGCGCAGCGGTCATTCTCACCAACATCTGATCCCTGACCTGTCTGATCATATGCCGTGGATCAGCCAGCTCTATCTCCCTATGTCGCAGTGTCTGAGGAGGCAAGTGATCATAGGAAGTGAGGGGAAGATGGTAGGAGACCTGCTGCATGAGTTCCATCTTGCTGGCCATCGCTAACAGCTTCGCCTGCATCGTCTGATTGTCCCTAAACAGCACGCATGCACACCCTTAGTGCTGCCCCTTCTCCACTACTTCGCCAATATTTGGTTGTCACTAGCAAGCTGTGATGTCTTGCCGTGATGGTATCTCATCTCCAGCATAAGATGCTTCACATCTTGTTGTGCATTCAGCAGCGCTTCCTGAAGACCAGCAGTCCCCCATCTAGAGGAGTGCTTTTTCCCTAACAACCTGTAGGTCCTTGATTTGTCTATTAGCCCTCTCGCCCGCGACCAAAGCAGTGTGGCCTGAGTACCGGCATCCCTCCTGCCCTCAAGGACCGTTCCAACCTGATTTCCCCCCAGCCCTAGCAGCAGCCTCATTCTGCATCTTCACAATCTCGTTATTGAGCTGGTGGATGATATCATTCTGTTGCTTCATCACCTACACCTCCACGCCTCGGACCTCCAAAGACCATTCCATCACCCGTACCGCTGCGGCGTTGTTGAGCGGACGGTCAGCGACTGCCGACTTGTACATCTCGGCTTCGGCCTGCTTAGCCGCAAGCAGCCGTCGCAGTCCCTCCACGTCCGCCGATTCAGTGTCAGTACCACTCCTCCGCGACATCTCGGTAATAGGAGATCTCCGCTCTCTCTGTTTTAGTACATAACCTACCAGCCGGTCACCGACCACAATACGGGTCTCTCTGTTTCTCCCCACCTTTCGTTTTCAACCGGCTGATCTCCATTTTAGTGGCTTCTAATTCGCCCTGTAGGCATCCCCGACGTATCTCAGTATCAGTGAGGTCCTTCTGCAACTTCACAACAATCTGAGCCTCCTCCCCACGGCTATTCAGCTGCTCCTCGAGCCGCTTCAACTCCTATGAAAAAACTACTACTTCGCTACTAATGTAGGATCCCCATGATCAGTGATACCTCCTCCTTTGCCAGAAGCGCCGTCTGCAACTGCTGAACCTGCAGCCCGAACAAGCCTTGCGGTTCACTACTGTTAGCCGCCGTGCCGCCGGTGACCGCCTCCAACAGGTCTTCTGTATCGGCCACATAGTCCTAATCCAAGAATCGACGACGACGCCGATATGACCCCTCCACAACTCCTAACCTGTATAAAGTCTATCTCCTTCTGAAGAGTCCTCATAGTTTTTATTAATGGATGCATAGCATCGTCGGAGCCTACTCCCACTTGATCTACCCCATCACCATCCTGACCAGAGATGCATACCATAATGAAGGATAGAGCTGCCGCACTTCCTTCCCCCCTCCCCCATCAGCCTCCGAGCCGTTGTCATTCTCCTCCTCTTCTACCACCGCCTCTTCAGCAGCTATCCTCTTCTGCTCAGACTCGATCTCTTGTGCGAGACCGGTGGCCATGACGATCGAGTTCACCACTTCCTCCATCGATGTTATCATCTCTTCCGCCTTCTCTTGCGACGGCACCATGTCCGTCTGGTCCCCCACGTGGAAGCCGATCTGAGGGCCAACAATCCTACTATATGCTAGGCCGTTTCCTACTCACCTTGACAAGATCTCTCAGAACCCTATGAGCCCTTCTCGCCTCCACATTTGCCTCTGTTGCTTGAGAGTTGAGCTCTTTGATCCGACCCTCTAGGTCTGCTAGTCTGAGCAATATCGGATGCCCAGAAGCCTCTCCAGCACTTCTTCCTCCTTCCTAAACCATTGTTGTGGCTTCACGAGTTGGTACTGTCTTCAATACCTCCACTAGCTTCCCTCCAGCAGCACTCTGGGCCATCACTTTCCTCTCTAGCAGTTCCGCAGCCCGACCCTCCTCTTCCTCTGCATACGCTACTACTTCCATCAGAGTCTCACAGATGCCTGATCGATACCACAGGCTCATACTAAAGGTGCTCCCCACTGCGATGGGTCAAGCCCCTTGGATTGGAAAAGTCGAGCGGTGGCTCCTGCTATATTACGCTCCATGGGTTCCACTAGACTTATAGCATTGTTAGCGTTGATGGTTCCTTTTCGCCGGAGCTGCTCCTGTATAAGGTCGGCCTGGGATGTCACCTTCTGAGCTACTCCGCCGTCGTTGCCGATGGCAGTAGCTGTTGCTGCTATAGAGGCGGAGGTTCCATGTAGAATGCTGAGCTCTGCTTCCAACTCTTGTATACGTTCAAGCTGACGGTACAACGAGTACGCTCTCCAAGGATCGGACGTAGGACCTACCATGTCTCCGGAATCATCACCCGTTGCCCCACCGACTGTGAGCACGCCCAAAGCCTTCAAGTGGCACAAGTCTTGGTCGGCCTTCTCCTTGAACAACCACGTCTGGAGGGTCTCAGAGTCTGATACTCTGAGCTCGCCTCTCTCTTGGAATGAGAACAGGCCCGAACCCTCATGCTCTCTCATAATCAACTTGTAAGTCTCATTGCCGACATGTGGGTGGGAGGGAACACCGGTTTCAGCGAGCCACTCGGCAATCTGCACGCCCGGTCCGAAGAAGGCGTACTGTGGAGCCTTGGCTCGGCCGCCGATGACACCAGCATAGGCCAGGCCTGTGTTTACGCCTATTTTGAGCTTCATGGTTTGCCCTGTGCTGCCGATTTTCAATTGCTCGGCTGAGAAAAAAATACTGGAACCGAGAATCGAACTCGGGACCTACTGCGTGTTAGGCAGTCGTCATAACCAACTAGACCATTCCAGCGATGAAATACCCACACACTCACCGGGAGCAGTTATCGCACGGGAACTCACCCTTCAAGAGCTTGCTAGCAAATCTCAAGGCCACTTCTGTATGCTCATCATTCGTCGACTCATGCCCGCACACAGCCAGAAATCGCTCCCCATTGGAAAGCACAGAATACATCCCATTGTCTTTACAGAGCTGGTCGAAACTATTCGTCATTTTATTCATCAGAACAACCAATTGTGTAACCGGCACCGCCTGACCAAGATCCCTTCCATTACACCAACCCGAGGCTTCGTCGTCAGACCCACCTGCGTGATGAGAGGAAACTGATGCACAACCGCCGCCACGCAGCTGACACATTCCAACTTATCCGCAATCATTGTGGCACCTCCCCTTAATCGATTAATGATGAATTTTGGCATCACCCGGCCCATCACCTGGAATGAAAGAAGACCTCCCACCCGAGTCAAATTTCAGGATGCTAACACCTCGTAGTTGACTTTCGCCTTGTTCTCATGTTGAACATGATAACGGTTTCGTATAAGGGCGAAAATGTGGTCAATGATGATGGGTAGCTTCTCCTCTGTGACAGGCTTCGTGTAGACTGCTGTAGCCCCTCTCCGTATAGCCTCAAGGTGACTAGACGTCTCTTTTGACTTAGTAATCACCAGTATCGGTACCTCGGAGGGAGCGCCGTCGCCAACTACCATGCCACTGTTGTAATCTCACCTCCGGTGGCTTCTCTCTCCTGAACTGACTCAAGAAGTCCAGGCCGGGCAAGTTGCCAGGCAGTTCCGTCTCCATAATCACTATATCAGGCATCGGATGCATATTGAAGTAATCCAAAGCCGCGAAACCATCGGTAACCGTATTGGTCTTATAGGCTCGATCCACCAGCATTGGGCGCAGTATCGTCGCAGTGTCATCGCTGTCATCAATAATCAACACTTCCTTCACCGCGAGCTCGTTGATGGTGTTCTGTAGATCTTCCAGGTCATCTCCTTCGCCAGCTACACCCTCGTCAGCCATAACCTAACAGGGTCCGCTCAGGAGGCGACGCCGATAGGAATACCATTTTCTGTGTCAACTCCTTCTTCTGAGCACGCTTCTTGCTCCTCGCATCCACCACTTCACGAGCGTTGCACACCAAGTCAATGAAGAATGTGGCTGAGGGAGCGCGGCTCATAAACGAACTCTTTCACTACGACACCAGCAACTGCAGGGTCAAGAAGGCTGTGTGATTTCTATACAGTGGGATAGACTCCGGCTGGTATATTCTAACAGAGCCTGGCGATTCAGAATATGATAGTTAGTTCGTCTGGATCGTTTCCCACGGTGAGAAACCGCGAAATAGTCTTTAGGTTTGACAGTCGTGCATAGTCACAACTAGCAGGTCTGGCTCTTACTCCCTCGGCCCGGCTCCGACTCGCACCATAATCTTCCACCATGCAGATTGATAACTTCATTCGATACTGACAGCCCCAAGCCCAGACCCTCGAACCTGAAGGAGACTCGAGTACTCACGAGGGGGGGGGGGACGAAAACAGGATCGGGCCAGAAGGAGAGAGAAGTCGAACTAATGGATCGAATTGCTTCTCCATGTCATTTTCATTCACGATGAAGCAGAATGAGATCATTGATAATATTGATTGGGGGGTCGGAGGTAGCTCACTTCCTATTTTCGTGGTCGTCATCCTCTTGCTCAAACTCTGTGAATATTCGTTTCACATTGTCATCAGCAATGCCAATACCCGTGTCAACAATCTTAATTAGTACCTAAAAATGACATCACTGAGGATCGAACCCGGGATCTCTTGCTACTCACCCCTCTAGCCTTGCCCTTGGTAATCACCTTCACTGATCCCTTCGATGTGAATTTGCACGCGTTATTGACCATAGCCGACATCACATAGTGCAACCTGATTCACGCCGTCACTGCGCCACAGAATTCTCACTCTACAGTGTGGCCCAAACCGTTATGCAAAGTAATACTTCCAACGCCTTCAATTTATGAGAGTTCGAAAGTCAACATGATAAGAATGTGAATCGATTGACACCAACGTTTTAGAAGCTTCCCAAAGTCTATAATTCTCAAATTGAAGAAAACCATCTGGAAAATCCATAACTGTTTGGTCCACACTCTAACTCCCCGGCCCAACGACAACGGAATCACAGTGTTCAGCTTCAATGCTCATCATCTAACCCTCGATAGACCACACGTCTCTATATGCCCCTCACTGAAGCCATTCCCATACCGACGATGATCGAGTCGAAGTAACAGTCGCGTGCGCTTACCTCTCCTTGTCGCCTTCAACCTCAGGGCATGCGGGGTCCGGTATGAAGTCTAGATCGACCTTGTCCTTCTTGATCTTCCTTCCTCTCTTGTCCACTGCTTCCATCATCTCTCCACATACTTGCTCACATATCTCGTTCACCTTAGACAATCGTCACGCGCCACGAAATTGGCCCAAGATGCTCCTACATTAACCATACCAAAATTCAGCTGCATCTTCTTCGCCTTCAACGCCGCTATGTCCATAATCTCATTCACCAATGCCAACAATCTAACCTAATTTCCGATAACGAAAAAAACTTCGCTCCGCTAAGAAATTCCCTCCCCAGTACTGCACAGTTATTAATAATATCCAAGTGCTTCTTTCTGCCCGGATTGGGTTCTGTCATCCTGAGCGATTCCGAGAGACCAATAACGCCATTCAGAGGCGTTCCTAAAACAGTGTAGGTCTGTGAAGATTAACAACAGCTACCAGAGCTTACTGAGTTCATGATTCACTGTTGCCATGAAGCTATCCTTCTTATGCTCTAACTCACATATCTTGGTGCAGTCTCGTAGTATAGCACATAGCTTGTAATCGGCAGGATCCGAGTCGAAACTGAGCGAAACTGTATACAACTTTTCAATCTGAAATTCAACAATGGAAAGAACAAATAAGGTGATTGAAATTTGATTTTCGACGAGTGAAAGGAGTTCTTTACGAAATGAAAGTTCAAATTCGAAATGAAAGTTCGATTTTCGTAGCCCGGTCGAAAACTAAAGTTCAAATTCATAAATGAAATTTATGAATTCGGAAACGCAAGTTCAAATTCGTCGAACGCAAGACCAATTCCGACCAATCAAAGCTCAGCTACTACTACTACTACTACTACTACTACTACTGCTACTACTACTGCTACTGCTACTGCTACTGCTACTACTACCACTACTACTATTACTACTACTACTGCTACTACTACTACTACTACTACTACTACTACTACTACTACTACTACTACTACTAGCTATGATCGCGAAGGCTTACAGTATCGATACGAACAACGAGCTTGGAGTAACCTGCCCATCCTTGTGCTTCACTTCGACATTCCTACTCTCGTCCACGTTTATCTCTGAGTTGGGACACCATCATACCACTCCTTTCCAAAATCATGTCCTACTCGGGCGTCGGGTAGGGTCCATCGCCATGGCCTCGTCTGCCTTCTTCACGAACTGCTGTAGCAACGAGTCGTGACTCACCGCCACTCTGTCGGGCATGAGCATCTTTATGTCGCGACCGATGAGCTCCTCAGCTTTGAACCTATCAAAGATACCTTTTCGTAGGATCTTCCACTCCTCACCCTTACCCTGTCCATGCCTCTGATTGGGAGTTGCCGTATACGATCTTCCCTTGGCGGTCAGTTAGAATGACCAAGTCGTTGGATATCTCAGCGAAGGAGTCAATGCCGCGCCAGAATGCATTGTTCTGGCAGTCCACCATAGGAGAGGGAGGAGGAAGGTATCCTGAGGTCCAGCATGCAAGATACAGAATAGGTCAGGTATACACTCTTAATGAACAATACCAAGGACCTTTACAGAGAACCGCTGCTGACCCAAAACCAGTGCAGAGTACATATACAACGCTGCCTCATTGACCATATCATCGAATAGCCCCCTTCTATGGATGGTTATCGTTACTTTGACATCAATATAGGATTCAATTCAGCTCAGTCTCTATGAGCTGGCATCAGTCGACAAGGTGCACCCTATACATCTTGCGCACTCATATTCTCTTGCATTTCCTCATCGGTTCCCTAATTCGTTCGGTAGGGGTCTCCAACAGTCCCCAGGGGCCCACGCTTGCTCTATGTTTTCTCTATGGCTTCTGAAATTCCTCTCCGCCTTTGTATCCTTAGGTTGCGTTGGAAAGATACAAAATAGGTCAGCTTGTAGGCCTTTCGGTCGCGGTAGGTATTTTTACTCTGGTGTATAGCGACTTGAATTTATCTCTAATTCTGTACTCACCCCTGAGGGGGCCCGTTAGAGTATCGATAACCCTTCCAGCGTTCGTGTAGGACATTTTGGGGTCCCTTACACACCATGTCCGACCAGCCGCTCTACGATGAGTTCGGCAACTACATAGGGCCCGATAGCGATGTTGACGACGCCTCTGATTACGAGAGTAGTAGCCTGACCTTCTATCCATACCACATTTCCGTCACTTCTTCTTGGATAGGCTCTGCTGGAGGCTCCGAATACGGCGGGGAGGCAGCCGCGGCGGCTAGCCAAGAGGCAGTGCCGATGGACACCACCGAAGACGGCGCCCCTGTCGAGCAGAGGATCGTCTTGGCGGAGGACAAGAAGCATTATCCCGATGCCGATGAAGTCTATCCAGAGGCTGAAGTCGTATTCCAAGTAATAAGGTCTCAACGCACAGCGAAGATTTCGGATGGTATGGTATCTTTAGGATGAAGATACCCAACCGTTGACCCAACCTATCATTGCCCCTACAAAGACCTTTGACTTTGATAAGCTGGAGAAGGAGGTACTACTACTCCTACTGCTATCCCTCTATGACTCATACGGCTGCTTAGGTCCCGGAACTGGTTTATGATTATCATTTCCTAGCGGGTCTGATGGAGCACCCCAGCCTCATCAGAAACGTCGCTGTTGTCGGTGGCCTCCATTCGGGGAAGACTCTGCTGTGTGATTTGCTGGTCTCCCACACGTGGGCTGACAGGAATAAGAAGCTCGGGAATCTCGATAAGGAGGTCAAATACACCAATTTTAGAGGAGATGAGATTGCCAGAGACATCACGATCAAGTCGACTCCGCTTTCGTTGGTCCTCACTGATACCAACGAGAAGAACTACCTCATCAACGTGGTTGATACTCCCGGCCACCCAAACTTCCAAGATGAAGTCACTGCCGCCTTGAGGGTGTCCGATGGGGCGATACTTGTGGTGGATTGTGTAATGGGAGTTACCGATCACACCAAGCGCCTGGTCAAGCATATGCTTTCCGAAGGACCGAAGATGAAGTAGGGACCAAGGGTGGGGAGGAGGGGATTAAAAGGCGGTCTCCTCAGGTTCGTAGTGGTCTTGTCTCAACTCGATCGTCTTGTTGTCGAGCTGCGATTGCCCCCTGAGGATGCATACTTCAAACTGAGGTACTACGAGGGATATGGTCGCTGGATTTGAAGATGGTGTGGTAGGTATGTGATACAGGAGCTCAACAGCTATATCAGAGAAGAATGCGAGCTGATGGGCTTGGACAAGGACGACTACGTGGTGTCTCCCATCAGAGGCAATCTCGCCTTTGCCAGTGGGCTCTACCAGTTCGTCTTTACTACCTACTCGTTCGCTAAGTACTATGTAGAGGCCAATACTGAGGCCTTCCGGACCAGTGGGGCCGATCAGAACAACGAGTCCAACGGTCTGCCGGCAGCCTTTGGGCGAGCCTCTCAGGAGGGGGGTCTGCAGCCGCACCAAGTTAACGAGTGTGCTAGACGGTTGGCACGGGGCATGTGGGGTGATGTATGGCGCGACAAGAAGACAGGACAGTTCGTGAAGTCCCCGCCCAAGGACCAAGGGGAGGTTCAACGCACCTTCGTCGAGTTCTTCCTAGTGCCACTGTATAAGATGATCGGTCATACTATTGGCGAGGAGCAGGAGTCTTTACAAGTGACCCTAGGGGATGTTGGCATCTATCTATCTCAGAAGGATTATTACGCTAAGTCCACTAAGTAGGTTTCAGGGGAGTAATCGATACACAGTTATCATCCTTATCAGTGTTTGATGATCCCTGTAGGTGGGGGTAGTAGTTGCGGTTTCAGGTCCCTTCTCAAGAAGGTTCTGTCGCAGTTCTTCGGCGGTCCTCAGCCGCTCATCGACCAGATCGTAGCGAAGCTCCCGAGCCCTCAGGAGAATGCTGCTGTATGATCATACCTTTTGTCCTTCCTTCCTACCACTCCTTTTCCACTTCAGAATAAGATCTCCAAGATCTACTCTGGCAATCAGACTAGTCAGATCGCTGATGACATGCGCAACCTCCGTGCCAACGGGGAGCTGCTGGTCCACACCTCGAAGAACTATCACAGGTAGGTTGCTATCCGTCCTTGAGCCACCCCAGCTGTCTCCTCATCAGGTCCGACATGTCCGGCTTTGACCTCTTCGGTAGAGTCATGTCTGGCACCTTACGAGTTGGGGATAAGGTTAAGTAAGACCACTCCGCGAAGTTATGGGTGATGGATGGTATTCTTTTCAGAGTGCTAGGAGAGCGCTATACGTTGGACGATCCTGAGGACTCCAAGGTTGAGACAATCGAGCAGCTATGGATATATGAGGGAAGGTAGTCTTCATGCGGTCAGCTGCTGTGATAAGGTTATCGTGCTGTATCGACAGGTACCGCGTTGAGGTATCTCATGTGCCTGCAGGCAACTGGGTCCTCATTGGAGGATCATTGGATTCGGCTGTAGTCAAGACAAGTAAGGTTGGGTCTTGGTACCCTCTGCCCCGACCATAGGAACTTTACGGATATGCTCATTTGAGGCTGTGGTTGAACAGATCTCATAGACTCTAGCATTCACACTGTGAATAGGTTAGGCATGGGGCATGGGATATGGAGTAGGGTTGGCTTCCTATAGGCGTCTGGGAACCCTCGAGGTGTTGTTATCGGAACAAGTGTGTATTTTATGGCTAACTGAAAAAATCATAATCATTCTGATGCACCGTCCGGGGCATTCTCTTCGTGGTAGGTACAATAATAGCTGCAGACAATACAGATGATGTGGAGATCTGTCGGCCTCTAAAGTTCGCGACTACTGGTTCTGTTAAGGTAGAGGCTCGATGGGTGGTCAGCATTCTGACTCCTCTCTGTAGATTGCCTGCGAGCCGCTCAATCCGTCAGAGCTTCCTAAAATGCTCGAAGGGCTTATGAAGATCGACAGGTGACTCGGAGAATCTTAGGTTTAAGCTTGTATTATACGCTTTAGGTCCTTCCCGCTCGTACAGTGCAAGGTGGAGGAGTCGGGAGAGCACGTTATCATCGGCACTGGCGAACTCTACTTGGACGTTATACTACATGACTTGAGGAAGCTGTATGGCGATATCGAAATCAAGGTGGTTGCCTCTGCCCGGTTCCTTGCCACATCGTCATCTCAGGTCTCGGATCCTGTGGTTCCCTTTTGTGAGACGGTGATAGAAACCTCACAGTTCAAGTGCTCAGCGGAGAGTACCAATAAGCAGGCCAAGCTTTACATGATTGCTGAGCCGCTGGAGAAGGTGGGGGGTTGCGATTCGACGGAGGTGCGGTATAGCGTTGTCTTCAGGGGATAGCAGAAGCGATTGAGTCTGGTGTTGTGACGGGTCTTACTCCTACGAAGGAGAGGGCGGATATCTTCGGCAAGCAGTTCGGCTGGGATAAGCTTGCTGCCAGGAACATTTGGTAGGTCGCCTAGTCCCGCATCAAGGACGTATAGCATGAACCCTTCAGGGCTTTCGGAGCTGACCCTATCCACGGCACTAATGTGATCCTCAATGAGACGCTCGCGACTGATGCGGAGGCTAGGAACTCCCTCAACTTGGTAGGTCGATCTTGAGAGAGGTTCCGGCTGTCGTAACGCCGCTGTGGCAGATTCGGGACAGTGTTGTGTCGGGCTTCCAGTGGGCGACTCGAGAAGGCCCTCTCTGTGAGGATAACGTTCGCAACGTCAAGTTCAAGCTATTGGATGTGGTCACCACGAATGTGACAGTAATGACGCTTGTGGGATTCGAACCTGTGCCATCGCCCTTCTTCCTAGGCTGGCGGTATCGGTCTCGGATCGGGTCAGATCATCCCAGTAGCCCGACGAGTGGCCTACAGTAGTATGCTAATGGCCACGCCCAGGTTGATGGAGCCGATGATGTTCGCCGAGATAGACGTACCATCTCTGCTGGTGTAAGTAGCATCGCATACCTGGTTTTCATCTCAGTGCCCAGCTGACTGTGTCTCGGCTGTCTATACCGTCCTGTCCCGTCGTAGAGGACATGTCCTTAAGGATGTCCCTCGAGTAAGCTGACCGCATCTACTATCGTTTCTCGCCGTACTCCTCTTCCTATCAGCCCGGCACTCCTCTCTTCTGCGTCTACGCCTACATTCCCTCGATTGAGACCTTCGGCTTCGAGACAGATCTCCGAACACATACTTCTGGCCAAGCATTCGGCACTACAGTCTTTGACCACTGGTGAGCAGCATCTTGAGAGAGACGGCGGCCTCAGTCGTTGTTGTTCAGGTCGGTGGTGCCAGGCGACCCGCTAGACTCGTCTATAATACTGCGTCCTCTAGAGCCGGCACCACAGCCGCATCTGGCTAGGGAGTTCGTAAGTTAGCGTTGAGGAATGGGGCAATAGGATTGCAAGTGGTGAATTTGTAGGTGATCAAGACTCGCCGTCGTAAGGGCATCGGTGAAGATATCAACGCCCATAAGTACTTCGACGATCCGGAGCTGGTGAGCGGTCTTTCGCGAGTCGCTAGATAAGGACTCATGGTTAGGTCCAGCGCCTCCAGGCGGAAGATGCAACGGCTGCTGATGTATTCTGAGGGGTTGCTGTTGATGGTGATCATCGCCGTGGTCGACGTACTAGCTTAACGAGATCGTATTACGTAGACTATCGATCGGTTTCGAAGTACTTCAAGGATTGTGTTATTCAATGTAGTTGGAGATGTAGACAATCCTACTTGTGTCGATGATAGTCTGAGAGTAGATTTCCTCTACTGCTCGTTGTGCAGTTGAGTATTCTATTCCAAGATGGCCGAAGAACAGGTTTATTTGAGTTGCCTTCCTGTAGCCTCGGTGGTATCCAATTGGACTTACCTCTATCCCTACGCCAACACCCCACCAAGAGACCTTTGTGTAACTTCTAGAGGGGCTGGTCAGCACCTCCCCACTCGTGCGATGCTACTCGGTTGCAGCGACCTCATCTCGGTCGCTCATACCTTCCTCCTTAACCGCATGTCCAAGACTTGTGGAAGTGACCCTTCATGGAGCGCCACACCCCTGCAGGTCATCTGTTGTGATTTCGAGCCCTGCCTTATCGCTCGTTCCCTCCTCCATCTTCAACTACTCCTCGGAAGGCCCTCCTCTGACGGTCGAGACGTGACTGTAGATGACATCGTCATGGCTTGGGAGGTAGCCAACTCGATGTTCATCACCCCAGAGGCGGCTGGGAGGTTACAGAGGGCCGCTCAGGAACTCTGCGACTCTCTTGAGGATGATGATAAGTGGAGTCGTGAAGGCCTTGGGAGGTTCGGCGTCTACGTGACCGGTGACAAGGTGGCTGTGGTGAAGCTGTTGAAGTGGTGGTGTGAAGGTCTCGAGAAGGGCATCTTTAGTGGCCGCATTGCCCTCACGAGTGTTAGAACTGCGAGGAGGCGTATGAGCGATGCCTTAGGGGTGGGCGAAGCATACGATCAGACTTTCATGGTCCATAAGGTCAATGGTGGTGATCCAAGGTTGGAGGAGCTCACCGCCGCGTATGTGGCCCAGGGCTTCGTCGGACTGGAGGGCATCTTAGCTTCCACTGGAGTCGTCCTCTCACCGACTGAAGCTTCCGAGCGGAAGTGTGTCAATCCAACGTTCCTCGCTGGCGTCTACGACTTCCCTAAAAAGATCGCAAAGTTGCCGAAGGGCGCTTCAGCTAGTGAAGTTGCGAAGGTCTGGAGGGTCCATTACTTCGCCAATCCCTACCAGAGTTGTCCGTTGGATCTCATTAGATGCCTCGAGGAGTTGTCGCGTCCCTCTACGAAGTTTGTCACCGATTCTCGCTCTACTTGCCTGTCTCCTGCTCAGTGGTGCTTTGAGCTCTTTGGTCAGCGATCGGAGGCAATGGCATCAGCTCTGACCACCGGGAGGCATCAGATAGTACTCCACTGTGGTGATGCCTTCGCCCTCTGTGATGCCCTCAGGCCAAGGGATCCTCGGGCTACCCTACCATCTCTGATACCAAAAGTGAAGAAGTTAAGAGCGACTCTGACGGGAATTCAATTTCCCAATCAGTTTGATTTCATTGACACCTCCAACATCGGCGACAACACTGGCGTGCTGCCGCTCCTGTTGGCGTGTGCTCCCCTGCTTGCCTCCAAAGCTGACAACCCTCGAGCGAGTCTGGCTACTGATGTGATGAAAGGCCGCGGCAACAACGAGGAGGAAGTCGTTCAGGATTGTCTCTCTAACGTTCCTCTATGGCTCATCCCATTCTCTTGTGGTTTACAGTTGGACTTCGCGAGGTCGACTGTTGACCATCACGACTCGGCAGCCAAGCGAGACCCCAGCAGTCTGTGGATGGCCTATCCTCGTTCGTTCTCGAGCTTCTTGATAGCGATCGCCTTGCAGCATGGTATGGTACCGATGCGTTGGCGTCGCTGTTATGCCGGCTTCAATCAAGTGTCCGTGTCCGACTCAAACGACTTGAAAGCCTCCATCTACCGTGCCTTCGACATCGCTGTTAGGCTGAAGTGTGATCGCCCTGTTGGCCTCAACACCTTCGTCCGTCTCGTCGATTCTCTGGCGGCTTTCCTAAGCCCGGATTGCATCGATGGGTTGATGCAGCTTTTCGAGGAGGGTGCGATCATGCGCCTGGTACAAAAGAAGCCTTTTTCTACAATACTGGGATACGCCTTGTCGCTGTCCGGCCTCCTTGACTTACATGGTGGCCTGTATGACTTCGAGAAGGACCTCAGGATACGACGGGCCGTCACCCTATATGATGTTACTGTGAAGATTGGTAGAGATTGGAAAGTCCATCGCGATGGCCAAGAGAAGCAAGCCTTTGCTCGAATGGCTAGGAAAAACGACTCCAGTGGAAGCTTGGAGAAGCGTCGGCGGGGTGGTCCTGATTACTGCCTGGTATCTGTGGTACTCAACGATGAGGGTATCCACGTTGTATTCCCGGTCGAAAGTGTCGATGGTGACGAGCTCCACATCTTCGTGCCAGACGTAGTCGTTCACTATGCCGACACTGGAAGGGTTTATGTCACGTATTCGAGCCTGAGTGTGATTGAGGAGTCGTTCGAGGCCGATGCGAAGGTGTTGAGGAAAAAACCGCTTAGTCGATCTCTCTATCTGCCTGGAAAATATCATGGGACTGGGGTGAAAGATTCTTCGCTGGCTGTACGCGAATGGCGAGCCGATGGGTCGGTCCGGTTTGTGGCCAAGTTGAGAGGAAAGGAACTTGCATCGTTACAGAAGAAGGAGAAGGTTGAGGTCAACGAGCGTGTTGGAGAGCCTCAGACCGTCGACGTAGTTACAGCCGGGGCCACTCTGCACACCTTCACTTTGCCAGTGGAGGTCGCCGTCAATGATGTCCATATGAAAGTATCCCGAGGCAGCGGCTCTTTGGACATTATTATACCGGCCTTGTACTGCTGCCCTCTTGGCTCTCTCACTGGTGATGCCTTGCCACGGTCGATCTTCAGCACCTCCCGTAGTGGCGAATCGAAGGTTTCGGTGGTCCCGTCAGTCGCCGATGCAACGTTGAAGTCGGTCGCCAACAGTCAGGGTTGGATGAACAGAGGCCTCTTTGGTAGGATGTTGCCATTGAAGATTCGGGCCAATAAGAGTACCGCTACGAACCAATTGAGGGAGTCCCTCGCACTCGTCTACTCCACGACCCTTGACGACCGGGCTGCTGGCAAGGAGTATGGTGGCCGCGCTATAATGTCCCTCGCTAGGGGCACATCGAGTGATGTTATTATGTTGCTCTCCCCCAATACCACCTACGATTGGATCCACGGCCTCGTCATAAAGGGTGCGGTCTGTATACTCAAGCACGAGTTTGTCTACGACGTGGCCCCTGAGGTGTCGAGGATTCAAAGCCGCCGGGGAATGAGGTCGATCACAGTAGACGAGAGTTGTGGGGAGTTCGAGTGTTGGACTGATCACTACTTGCCAGCTGCGATGGAGCTCGCCCGTGTGACGCGTGGTATACCGCGGAGCAGAGCAGATGCCTACAACTGTGCCGTCTGTGGCTCTACCAAACCTTCCCATCTATGTAAGGATGCTGAGAAGTTTTGGATGTCCTGGCTGGACTGGAAGAAGATACCGTTGTCATCGAAGGCCATGCGGCATTTCAAACCGATGGTCATCTTCCCACTATTCTCTTCTGTTATGTCGTACAGCCTCACTGGTAAGGCCGTCCCGAATCCCGTTAACGACGCCAACACTATACTTGAGAGCATGCAAGAGAGGCTTGCTAAGGATCCGACGGCGACGGCAGAGGTCATGGGTCTCCTGCAGCAAATGTCCAATGTGGATCCCTCCAAGCCTCCCAAGGAGTTGATAGATCGTCTCCGCGCTCTAATTCCAAATGAGAAGGAGGCAAGAGAGACGCCATCTGGTGGTATGGTAAAAGCAAGAGTGCTTCCTCATCGACTTCCACTACTCCTACTCCTACTAAGAGTGCCGAGGCGGATGGCTTCCCGATTGGAAACCATCACCTTTGCGCTACCTGTGGTAAGGCTGGCGACAAGCTGTGCTCGCGATGCAAGGCGGTCTACTACTGCAGTGTAGAGTGCCAGAGACGAGGCTGGTCAGCTCACAAGAAAGTGTGTGGACACTGACTTCCTCGGCTTGAAGTGAAATGTTGGTCTCACTGCACTCCGTACTGGCCTAGCATTACTGGATTCAGGCAGTGAGCAACTTTGGGGAGCTACCCTTCAGTCTGGTCATTGTCACAGCTCATAGAAGGCTAAGAATCTTCTCGTCGGCCTATCATGGCATTTGATTTTTCCTTATATCTGCAATGTTGTGTTCATACTCTTAATGGGCACTGAGAGCCAATGAGCTGAGCTATTGGATGCTCATGTTGTATTGCACACCATCGTCTCACACGGGAAGAATTCTCACTTCACCGTCTTTTCGCCGATTCAGTGAGCCCTCGATGATTCGTATCTCTTTGATGGGCTTGTTAGGGTTGGCAAGGGTGGTATCGAGACCGATGTCACTATTGCGAATACTCGGCAAATGCGTCCAGGTGGGCACGAAGAATTGATATTAGTGATATTGGTTTGATACTAGTAAGTAGAAGAACCTCCTCATCAACTTGATAACGAGGTTCTTTTACTTACCTTCACTTGAAGAAGCCAAGGTTCCGTCCTAGTTGCGCCGTAGTTGTTTCGATGCATTGGGGGTGTTCTGTGCGTCAATGCATGCCATCAGAATCCAATCAGGAACGGACTATCGAGAATCTATTGCATTTGACCGACCGGACGCTTCCATGACCGTTAAAGACTCACTATAATTGGCTCTTTTTATTCCGCATGGATTTGTATCCGCATTGTCACTCCTCATCCCCAGTCAACCTCGAAGACCTCGCAGTAGCGCCCCATATAACAGCATTCTGGTGAGTCGCACACAACTGTGGAGGATGTGTTCATCATTTCTAAAGAAAGCGATGATATTTGACAGGGGTCTGTCTTTATTCGACGGACATACTCCCCATCTCGGCTCCCCTCCACATCATCACCATCACAGTAGTCTCGGTCACGACTCAGTACAGTGTGGAGCGATGCATGCTCGCCCTCGAGTGAGCCCTAAAGGGTGTCATCCTATTCTCACATGCAAGCCAATACATCAGCATCATACGCAGCATTGGTAAGCAATGCTTACTAAGCATCGACTGCTGTTACAACTTTGGCATTCATATATTGGAGTTTCACCTGTGATATGAAGAACACCAATGAAAAACATATTTCGCGACTACTGCATACCACGAATATCGCGTTTTTCACCGAGTAATACACCACTTCACGTAAAACGGGTGAAACTCCATTACCTCTCTGCGGCATTAGTTCTCTGCTGAATTATGATGAGATTCAATCACATTGTTCCAACTCAACGAGATGCATCTCGATAGGTATGATCACTGGCGTCACTGGGTGAGGTGGGCCCTTATAGGTAGACGCTGAAGCATCTGCTTGGGGCGAAGGCGTCTCTGTAGGGTCCGGGGTCCTGGGCATCATCGGAGGATGTGCTTCACTATCTCGAGCTCGGAAACAACGACGCCGTCAAGTGCAACGGGTGGGCTACATAGGACTACTGCAAAAGTTTCTGAATAATCCGACGGTTTCCTCGAATGTGATTTAGAGTAACCAACGTGCGAGGCAGCTTCGGCCGCGACGATTAGAGAGCGAGTCAGATGAGGACAGCGAGGCTGATGGGCCGCGTAATCGTCGAAGGCGAGGGAGACGGTGAAAGAAAATTAGGGCGTGGTCGATTGAAGCAGCTGTTGTCGTTGTGCGTGGTGAGTCGTGTTGAACTCTCTAATGTAGTTGATCTCGAAATTCGAGCAAGGAATATCCACACTTCTCAATCGAGACACCCTGCTCGCCGTCTTCGAGTGCAGGAGTACATCCATGTTGTCCATAGGTTGTCACTGATTCCAGTCGAATCCTCCTCTTCCACCAATATTTGTCCGCACAGTCCTGTACCTCCAATATATATGAGAATCTTATCGCCCGAGCCTAGAATCATAACGAACTTGTTCATTGACCGCGGATCGCCGCATTGCTCAAATTTCGCTAGGAAGGCCTCCACCGCTCGAACAATGATTCTCCTCCTTATTTCCAGTCCGCTGTATTCAGCTTTATGATTCCCTCGACTAACCGTTCTTTCACTTCCGTGGTCATTCTTGGCTTCTGCTGCATTGAATTGAGCCATGGAAAGCTGGGTGCCTTTGGTCGATTGAAAGTAGCGCCCGAGTACATGAGCTACAACGAGCCGAAAGACACCTGGGGTGACAAGGTAAGCATCACGCTGTCGTCACGACTTCAGCCTGTTCGCTTTCAGAAGAAAAACCAGCGAATATCAGAGGAAACGGAACTCATGGTCGGTGGGGTTTTCGCTCTCGGAAGACAACCAGTGACTGACGACTTGTACAAAGACCAATGTGTTAGGTCTTCAAACGCCAACATTCGCATATCCAGAAGGAACTCGGGAACGGAAATTTCGTCGAGGTCTGTATTGCTCCTCCAATTGGTGCCTTTTATGGTGAACGACGACGATTCCAGGTTGTATTCGGTTCTGACGTTACACAAACAGACGAAGGAGCTGCCATGATAACCGACATAACGGAAATGCGTCGCTCGAAGTAGATGCCTTGATAGTTTTCTCGGTCATCAGCTCGATGGCAGGAACTATGCTGGAACCGAATTCACTATCATAGTCGATCGAAAGCTTATAGACCAGAGCAAGTGGGACCCAAAGGAGTAAGCAAAGGAAGAACGTCGGCCAGTGACACTCCGAGCACTAAGTTTGGACTTTCAGAGGTCTGGTCTACAACGGAGCGCCTGATAAAAGCATAGATCGGCATTTATGCGAGTACACAACCGAGGTGCATGCCAGAAGCCGTATCGACCCTCGGAGGAGTGTATGAGCTCGAGCGGTTTATGTCACGACGATTCCGTGACACGCGATTCAATTAGGTACCGATCGCAACGTATCGGAGCACTCTAACCTTATCTCACCCGACTGACGGATTCAGAATTGCTATGCTCTCTGCGGACGTTCTTGACAAGTAATTGCGCCCACATTTCCCCGTCTCAGATAGAAAGCCAGCCGCGTAGGAGGCGCCGATGCTCTGATTTCAATGGTCTGTTATTGAGCGTGATGTGGAGTCCTGGTCTTCAGGTCAATCAAGCCCCGGTTTGATATGTCTAAATTTCGCAAGATGATAATGGAATCGAGAGGTTCAATTCGCACTTTGAGCAAGAGGCCACAGAGACTTGAATTGGAAGTTCAATGCGCAGAGCAGCTAATGGCGTTCGGCACCTCAGCTGCGAGGCTCCTCGGACAGAAGACTCCTTCGTCTCCCGCGAAAGGAATACTGTCCATCATGAACTGGGTAACTGACAATTCGCTAGTGCATCCGTACTTTGCGAGCTCTGAGTGGATCAAGGATTATTCAAACACCGTGTTAATAGAGATCGCTCAAGTGTAGGCTGTCACTCTATACGATGATTCATGTGCGATTAACGTCAGCAGTGCAATCCCGATGTACCGTGTCCCAACAGTCATGTGTTGAGTATGTGATTTGGAGTGTATCAATCTAACTCAATCTTGCAGCGCGATTCACTGCCTCCGCCCAAGTCACCTGGGATTATCCCGCAACGGGGCAGTTGGCACAGCCTGAGTCGCATCCATGTTGACGTGAACACTATCAATACCTCACCAGAACCAGGCCTGGGCTGGGCCGGAGCGGTCCCTCATCATATCTAGTCGCTCGTGACTTATGAGAGTCGAGATCGCCAATTACTGGTAAAAAGAGGGGTCATATACTCAGCATAACGTTGCGAACGGATTAGGAAGAAAATATGCCTCTGCAAATGCAGGCTGTTTTTCTTTCGAAGACAGGAGCAACAGACATCAAGCTACAGATGACCAAGGGTGTGCCCTCGAGCACTGGGCTTGACGATAAAGTTCCAATAGTTGCGTCGCGGCAGGACTGTGTATCTCACGAGTGTTGACTACTTGGATAAAATGGATTCGGTATGCTTGAGATTCCGTGGCAAGGCCTGCGTCATTAGTCAAGCGTCTTGCTGGATTAATCCTTTTGTCAAGGATGTGCAAAAGGTACTGCGCGGCGCGTCTAATTAGACTACATCACCCGGACGAGCTACAGCGACTCATAGAACGCGAGGGATGGTAAGAAAGGAAACTCCAATGGATAATTAAACAAGGTGACAAATGCGGTCAATTAGTTCCTGCTTCTTCCCGTTCGTGCTCTGCCGCTGCTCCCTGAGGATGTCCTTCAACTGCGACACAGTGAGACGGCTTAACTGGGAACACACGGGATCACTTCAGCACGAGATTCGAGCACTCGTTACTCACCGTGCCATCGAGGACCTTCGCTCGTACAACAGCGAGGCCCATAGTGAAAGGCTCTGCAGCACGCGGCCGCTTGGCTGGTGGAGACGAGAGATCTACAGGCAACCGACCTTGCACTCCAGCGGACCGAATCGTTTGGTCACCGTCAACCCCCAGCGTCTGCTTCCACGCCTCAACATGGTCCTTAGCCAATTCACCTTTACGCTCATTCGGAAGTAGCAGGTCTTGTACTGCGTCCCTGGCAAGGTCGCCTCCCAAGGCCAACGCCTCCAGCTAAAACGGGAGCACTCCAACAACGTGTTCACCCACAATCAGATGGGGAGCTCACCCCGGCATAGAACAACTTCAGTGAGGGATTATCGATAGAGTACGGCGACCAATGACTTATCCTGAAGCCTCTTATTATCGACTTGGCGGCTTCAATCTATGATGTATGGAACTCGATGATTGCCAGAGAGCCCACAGCCTACCTGTTGTTTTTGTTCTTCCTGTGAGATCACCTCGTCTACGCTGGTCCCTGAAGAGTAATGTCGACTGAGTAACAGTGGAGATGGTCCCACCTGGTAGTTCGAGCGATCTAATGTCGTCAGCAAATGGTAGGGGAAGGAGCACCTGTAAAGAGGTCAGCTGCCTTCAGCGCCTCGGACTAATAGCTCACCAAGCCTCCTGAAGTCTGAGAGGCCTCATCGGGCATTTGCGGTGAGAGAGCGCCGAAGATTGGTTGGGCATTGGCACGAGCGACGAACCTGCGTCGGACTGTTGAGTAGCTGCTCTGGTCGTTAACGCAGCTCACCTCACGAAGGCGACCTTCTCACGCTTAGCCATGCGACAGCATAGTGCCTCAACCTGAAGAGTCACACAAGTGCATGTTCAACGAAGTCCTGATGTTGCTGAGGACCAGTCTCTTTGAGCCGGTGATCCTCCCTTCATGAGGGTATAGGAAGTATCCGTGTCCGATACGATGTTGGAACTTCAACTGAAGATAGAGTATATAAAATACCGTGCCATTAGAATAACTAACACTATAACAGTATGAGGATGATGACCCACCTTCCGTCTGCTCTTGAAGCCGATCACTTCCAATGATCCGCTGATGACCTCTTCCTCCGCCCCCTCTTGCCCTCCCTCACCACCGAGAGGCGGCACTGCTATCATGTTGCTTCTGTCTCGATCGTTCTCATCGGTTTTGAAACTGGTTGAGACTAGTAGATTAGGTAAAACAGCCCGAAAGCTTATTACGACTTCATCTTCACGACGTCTTCTCGAGTGATCGGCACATGCTCACCGCCAAAGTCCACATACGTACGAACCTGCTCCAATAGCACTCAATTTTTCCTTGGAGGTCAGCTAAGCCCACTTCAGTGTCCCTGTCTAGCATCGCTCCATTGTCCTCATTAATCCAACGGGTTTCACTCTTCAGCAGCTTATGGCTCTCTGGATGGAGATAGACCTGAGAAATCCGCGTAATGACTGCTCAGCATCTGCCTGAGTGAGGGCAGGGCCAAGGAGCAGCTTCTATGTATTAATTATGACTCACTGGGTGAGGCGTGATGGCTTCCTTGACATGACAGTAGACCTGGACGGCAGCCACATAGTCGGGGGCACCAGCGAAAGTGAGGTTGCATCGATTCAAGGATCTCACTTTGTACCTACCAATAATCAGCCTACTTCCATCACTCCTTTCCCGAGATGGTACTCCTTCCGTCGAATAACTGTGGCTAAGTCTTCCATTATGCCACGGGTATTCTCTAGAAATCTGAGCCGCGACAATGACTTGTGATAAAGTAATATCAACAGCTCACTTCTTGGGATCGCGAGACTCCTCGACTTCATCAGGTAGAGGTATCACGTTTGCCCAGTACTGATGGAAGACCATCGTGAGCAGCGGCAACTATCACAAGTTCCCCTCATCGGACGATTGCCTACCTTCATGACGTCAAATCGTTGTGCTTCCTCGGAGCTGTTAATCCCCAAGACCGCCAAGTCGATATCAGTATCTGTCAGTAGAGATCTGCTTAAACCCGACGATCCACCCTCACCATTGGCGCCGACATCGAGTGCCTTCATTTCCGCGGCTTTCCTCTCCTGTGGACTCCCACTGGGATTATCATCATTAGTGATGACATATACTCGACGTCCGATATTGCCTTTAGCCGCGTGACTTTGAAAAATGTTACCTTCGATGACTCAGATCCTCAGCTTATCACAGGTGTAACCAACTCACTGGCAACCCAAAACGCGTTGTGGAGGGCGAACGCCGGAGATATGGACGGAGGGCCCTTCCTCCATCGGCGGTCGAACTCCTAAGGAGCACCCCGTAAAATGACCTTCGAATTCTCGAGGCGTACGGCGCGGTCTAAGGTGACTGCCAGATCCAGGATTTCCCGGATACGGGAGGCAGATGGCTGTTGGAGGTCCTGGACCACCTGTAGCGGGCGTCGGCAAGGAAAGCATTGAGAATTGCTCACAGTGACTCCAGCTAGCTCCATCGGGTTCACATCAGCACCTGCGGTGTTGTAGAGTATCTAGCCGGGGAGCAACATCGTCATTCAGAGCGACTAGCATTCAACGATCCCACCAGCCCGGTCATATCTTCAGGTCTACCAATGATCTTGGACCTCATAAGATTCGCCAGCGTTTCGAGCACGTTGTTGATGCACGACGTCCTCCTCCCACTGGCCTCCCCACTTCCATACAGCCCTTGTCCGTCACCAGCTACGGGTGCTTCCGGAGTGAAAAGTGTGTCTACGTTGGACACATCGAGGAGGAAGATGACCTGAAATGACAATTAGGGAAGTATGTGAAGCCGGACTAGAAGACTCTAGTAAAGGGCCCTAATGAGAGTAGGCACGGCTGAAGTCTTATCGATAAGATAGTTACATGGCCACATATGACTCTACGTATTATCCTAGTTAGTCCTCGACGACGATGTGTGTCCACTACGAGTGAACTTCCTGAAGCTCGCCTTACCGCATCTCGCGACTTCTTCTGGGAATCATCTTCAACTTCATCAAAGTGGTCTGAAAGGCCCCGAATGTAGTCACAGTCTTACTAGGAGCGGAGGTCGAACAATGGAGGTTTGTGAAGCTTTACTGATGCTATGCCACCCCTACCGAAAGCGTCCCCTTTCAGTGCCGTCTCAGCGTTGAACGCCAAATCAGCGGTGTCAGCCGCAGTGCTGACGTCCATAGCCTCAAGAATGCACACAATAACTGCTAAGAACCATGATCTCCTTACTCTGGAGAGCCAACAATCCCACAGATAAATCGTTTGTAAAACTCATCACTGACGAGTCATCGTAGTAGACTTATATTACGACCAGCGAGCGCGCACACCATCACAGGCGGCTATCAGCTGCTAGAAGCAGCTCCCATAAGAGTGCAGAGGCAGCGCTATACTAGAGTGGAGAGTCTCCACTGGAGACTCATAACCCCCTACAGACGATTGACTCAGTCACACTCGTAACCCAACAATACTAAAGACCCACAGAATGGTGCGAAGACTCGTGCCACCACACTGCAATTGCAGATTGGTTCGACGAGGTGACTATGACTGTAGAATAGACGACAGGGAATGACATATTCCCTGGTTAAATCAAGTGACTGGAAACTGGGGTTTGCGTGTAGTTGGATATCATACATCTCTTACATGTAGAAGTGGATTGTGGATCTGTGAAAGATACCCTCCACAGATTTAGAGCAGTGGGGAACCTCCTCCCGCTCCAACCTCCCTTCTCCATTCCATGGCTCGATCAACATGAGCAGCTTTGAGGAGTTGGTGACCAGCGCTGGGCGGGGCAGCTATGCCACCATCCCAAGATATGCCTCGGTCCAATCAATTCCCCCAGGAGGGGCGGCTAGGCCACCACCCCAAGATATACTTCAATTCAAATCAATTCCTCCAGGAGGGGCGGCTATGCCACAACCCCAAGATATACCTCACTCCAATCAATTCCTCCTGGAGGGGCGGCTATGCCACAACCCCAAGATATCCGTCAGTCCAATCAATTCCTCCTGAAGGGGCGGCTATGCCATCACTCCAAGATATACCTCGGTCCAATCAATTCCTCCTCGAGGGGCGGCTATGCCACCCAGATTTACATGATAATCGAAGAAGGTTATCTCGGATGCGCGTTATGACAGGTGTGGTACCTCCTTACTAACTAGCCAACACAGCCAAGTGACTTTTGCATGGAAATTTGCCCAGAAGAACTGGATGGGAGAACCAGCCACTGGTGTTTCCTCGTGATTAACAAGAATGGTCACATGCTACGACCTGTTACGGCTCGTAGCAGCACTACGTTGCCACAGCAGCACCAAAGAGGAAGATCAACGTTGGTGGGCTACTGCATGAAACCGTGATGCTTAGGACTACTGTGATGAGTCCGGGATAAGTATCGATTAGTACGATAGGTGAAGGAAGAATATCGTATATTTACCAACCCCAGAAGAGCAGTGCACCAACCGGACCGCAACGATTGATCCTAGTTGCTAGTGACTACTAGTATGAGAATACCTCCATGTGCGCGGGGAAGTTAGAGGCTACCGTGAAAACCTTCATTCTTCCGACATTACGTACGACTTTGCGCCTTACATACACACATGTTAAACTTCATCTCCCCTCCTTGGAATACAGTGTTTGCATTGACCTCCAATTACGGTGTCATCGATAGAGCATAACCCCGTCATGCCACCGGCACAGCAACGAAATAACCCATCAACAGTCATGCCCATAACACCTTAACCGCAGGTTGGCCATGTGGATGTTAGGGGCGCTAACGAGGTGCTTTTTCTTACGAATGAAGCTAACTAAGGTGGTAGAGGGCGCCTGTAACCCGCAGTCTCATGAACGAATCGGTCTGTGTGCCAAAGAAACACGCTATTCAGCAAGTTCGTGTTCAAAAAGTTTGTGATATCGAACGATTAAGTGCGAAAACGTCGGAGCGATAAATTCTCAGGAACGATGTTCTCCACGCACCGAAAGACAGTCGTGATTCTGAGTTCGATGAAGATGGTGTTCTGAGAAACGATTCCACAGTTTGTAACTTTTCTCAATTGTTTGTGCGCGCTTTTCGCCAATGCATTGCGATAAACCGACGATAATGACAAACGCCACCGGTCTCACGCCGCCCCCGCCGTGTGGAGACTGTGCTCCCTTGCCGATCCTCGACGGTGAAGATCCTTCTTTGTTGGAGAACCAACGACGGCATCTTAATGAGGTGTCTGCTGATATGATTCAGAATATGAGTCTCGATAAGGCATCGGCCGCGGACATTCGTCGGGCTCGTAACTTGGCGCTCCTTAGTGAACTCTATGAGGACGCTGCTGTGGCTTACAACGACGGTGACAAGAGGAAATTAGTAGACCTGATGGCCACTGCAGAGCATCTGGTTGGCAGTGGCTCTCTGCATGGCCGACAGCAAAGCGATGATATCCTTACTGTTGATTCCATGAAAGTCCTCCCTGAGGCGCAGCACTCCTGATGACGATACGTCATACACAGACCTCGTCGGGCGCATTCTAACTGCACATCTTTTGGGCTCTACCATTCCTCTTCCACTTCGTCTTCTAATACTGTATTTTGTATTGCTGCGAACTCTGAGAAGCTCGCTGTAGTCTGGCTAATGCAGCAGTGCGGGCCAGAGTTAATTGTCTTCTCCCTCTTTCATCCCATTAGCAGGCCATTACTACTAAACGTAGCGGTATCATATTCTGTGATGCCGCGTCGTATGGTCCAAGCAATTCTCGATAACGATTATATAGCCCTTCCTCTGTAAGGGCTTCTGATTATTCCAGCGAGTGACTTTCGCTGTGAGTTAACTGATCTATGACATACACGTGGTGATTCAGTCATTACTATAATTTGTGACGTTAGTGAAGAAGTACTTCAATTGATTCGGTATAAGATTGTTCTAGAACGTCCTCCGCTGCGTCATATGAATACTGCAACGCTCGCGTTGTTTCTAGGCTCACGATTATCGTCGCGTTCGGGTTGGACTGGTATGGCTCATATCCACGGTTGAACATGCGCTGTCCCGCGAAAAATTGCTGATAACTGTATGAGCCCATAGGGATACTCCGTGGTAGAAAATTTTCAAATGGGCAGTAATACTGAGGCTGGTTTCAGTCGTCTTCTCGAACAATATAGAGAGGCTAGCGAGGCCATGCCACTGACGGTAAGCACTGGAGGGAAATGGCTCAAATGAGACCCATTGGGTACGCGAAATGATGGATTCCGCAAGGAGGGTATCGCATTCGATCGCACCTCTTGCTTGGAGCGAACTCAGGAAAACGGCTCCCAAATTATCGCTATTATGAGTTTGGTTACTAGCTTAATTATCATTAGAGTGTGGCCAGATCGAGCCAACACTGATATGTGAATGATCGAGTCTAGCTCCCCTTATGCGTATCGGATGTTGTTCGCGTTAGATGCCGGACCATGGCTCTTTATCAGAGTGCATCCCTCAGGTCCAATGTATACAGGGCCCCATTCTCATAATCATCGCTGATGTACTTGCACAGTTCATTACAGGTGTGATACATCACGTTCGCCAAAAAATCTACAACAGTGGTTATTGGTTAGGAATGTGATTCTCAGGTGCCCGTACGATAGACAAGCGACGATGCATCCGTGTAGCTCTGTGTCAGCTCGTCGTGTTTGGTAGTAGAGAATCACTCCAAGGGCTTTTGGTTTTTCCTGAGACTGTCGCCTTTGCCCTCGCCTCGACATCGTACGATGTGCTTATTGTATACCACTCGGTGTGTTAGGTCCGATGACCTACTTCTGGTATGATGTACTCCTTCCATCTTGGGGTGAGTACCTCCCCACTACTGCTCATAAGGTTCTCGTGGACCAGACTCTATGGTGTTGGACATTCTTATCGACATTTTTCTTCATACAAGTAGGCTACTACGCCAAGCTTGTGTGGGAAATCAGTACGTCGTTGTTCATGCGCTCAGTCCCTGGCTGCGGGTAAATCCGTTGCAGCGAGTGTCAAAGCAGTGCAGTCCAACTTGGGCCCAGCATTGAAAGCTAACTACTGCTTCTGGCCGATGATACAGTAGGCGTTGGTGAATTTGCTGCGTCGGGTTTTTGTGTTGAATTGCGCCATCTCTCTTCTCCGATGTGCTCAAACGAGAATCTACTGATGGGGAGGGTTTTGATTTTAGGTACGTGAATATGTACTACATACCAAAACATCTGCGACTCCTGGCGATGCTGATTGTCAATGTGCCATGGACGGCCTTTCTTTGTGCCATTCAAAACGAGAAGCCTGCTGGGGATAGCAAAAAGGCAGAGGAAATGGTTAAGAAAAGCAAAAAGAATCATCGTGAATGAACTATCGGACAATTTCACTAAAGCGATGGTTGTTGTTTTCAGCGAGTTGTTCCTTCTCCATGTGACACCGATATGTAGTCTAACTGAGCACGATGCTGGAATAGTGAGATATGGGAGAATGCATTTGATACAGTGTGGCCACGCGGTTGCCTTCGATTGACGCGTCGAGTCGTACGAAACGGCATCAGAGAATATCAGCGAACTTCGTATGATGTAAGTGAGAAGATAACTCTGTTCGAGTGTGTGTAGGTGGCACAAGCCTCCCTGCCATCTTCATTGCTAGGCGTCACAATATTAATGAGTGTTCCACTCTCCCGCGCCTCCAGGCCCTCCATCTACTGTATTGGAAGGACACAATGCACTAACTCACTGTTCTTAACAGTGTGCACACCCGGTGGTGCCCGAGTCCCGCATCGACCTCATGAGATTCTACGTTGTGCAACATATTCGACTGAGAAACGTAATCGCTCTCGACCTATCACAACTATACTCTTTTGGAAGAACACTGACTATCATTGCCTACAGGCAGACACCACTGGTAAAACCATCAGTGATTGCAATCATAACAGGGAATGTCAGTTACACATTCTCTTACAAACTTGACCATCGTTACAGACCAGGCTTTGATTTGAAAAATGCATCGGTGAAGCGGCATCACAAAGTGTGATAGTTAACTCTCGAAGATGGCCTCGGGAGGCTATCGGTCGGACTGTGGCAGTCCATCGATACCACCCGGCCTCTGCAGCACACAAAATCCGACGACGTTATATACCACCAGGCCGTTGACACAAGCGATTGATCATACAAATGCCCGACCCTTGCGGGCATTTGCGTAGTTCACCGATGCTTATTACGGATGATCGCTCGCGGTTCGATATAGGGTTCTCTAGGAAGTGCCTCATCGTTAAAAGTCTTTCCATATGTCACTCACACGCTACACGGTACTCGTAACAATCTAAACACATCAAATGCTACATGCCATGGCATCGCTCAGAGCAAGTGAGCTCGAAATCAGCATTTACATCGGCGAGGATAACCTGAGGTAGCAAGTGGAGAAGAATGTTACTCAAAAGCACTCACATCAATCAGATTCGAGAATCTCGAATCGAGATCTACATCCTAGTCCTCAACATCACTGCTAATGGCGCTTTTCTGTGTCAGGAGCGCGGCTTAGTCAGTATGTTCTCTAAACTTGGTGGGACTTGTGGTGTTAGGTACATCAAGATGCGAAGAGGCGCCACCTCCCTCACTCGAACGAGCACCCAGCTCGAATTCACCCGCTGGACGAGGGCTATCACCAGCACCTCCCCAAACCTCTTCTTCTCGGGCCATAGAGTTGGCTTTAGGCTCTTCAGGGACGTCATCCTCGGAGGGGATGTACTCCTCGAAGTCATCTTCGTAGCCGTCCTTGGTCTCCTCCGGTTGCTTCGGATCATCCACCCGGCCCCTATCGTCTTCGACAGGGGCAACCTGCGCAGTCGGGGAAGTGACATCTGACGCTTGTTGGGCCACCATGTCAGCATCGCAGGAGGCCAGCTCTTCGTTTGCCCTTTCCGAATGACTATTCTTGCCGACATCCTCCAGTTGCATTCCTCCGTTGATACCCTCAAGATTGGTGTTGGCCTCATGCGGCTCCCCCGCTGAATTCTCATTATTCTCAGTTTTCGAGGTGGAGGTGTCTTTTCCAGCAGGAGCGTCAGTTGCCTCTCTTGGGGCTACCAAATCGGTTACAGCTTCTCCGGCAGCTCCCGTCGGTTGTTCCTTCTCCTCGGCCACCACACGGCTGTTACCATCGTCGTGAATGGATACAAGTGCAGCTTCCTCTTCTTCAATAGCGCGCCCCTCAGCGGCAGCCTCGGCAGGTCTAGACTGTTCCTTAGCCTCGAAATCGGTCTCGACTTTAGCATCTCCATCAATGCTCTCTATATCGCTCACTGGTGAGGCGTGGACATCCCCAACGTCTGAGGATGACGGCGACTTACTCGCTCTTATGCTGCCGTCAGCAACAGCCTTCTGAGCCTCGTCCGTAATGGCCGTAATACTAGTCGTATCCGTAGGGCCGCGAATGCCCTCTGGTTTCGGTTGAACGTGAGCGTCACCAGTGGGGGCTGGAGGTGACTGTTGGTGAGTCGTGACTGCTGCTAGCGGAGTTTGGCCTTCACGATGCTCCTCATCCAAACTCTCCTTGTCTGACTCAAAGTCCTCATCGTAATCATTTGCTTCATCAACAGTGATCTTCCCGACGCGCTCCGCTCCGTCCTTACAGTTAGCAGCTGAAGACTTCGAAGCTGAAGCAGACTTCTGTGCTGATCTGCCAGCCTTGTCCGTCCCAGCCATACCGACCGGTGCTACTGGGGTTCCCGCCTCCCTCTTTTTCGCACCTTCGGCTCTCTTCACACCTGGGGCCTTACCGCTAACAGTCGCAGCATGCTCGTTCACGGTGGCAGATCCCGATTGCACTTGCAACCTCGGGGGATCCTGGGCACGACTTGTTGATTGTCCCTTCCTAGCGTCAGATGCTCCTTCAATGCGTTCCGATACTCCATCCCTGCCATCCTGCTTGGCCACCTGTGACTTGTCGTGCTCTCGTGAGCCATCGTATCGTCGGCCACGCTCAACTGACTCCGATCGAGTATCACTAGAGGACTGTGGATGGTGTCCAGCATCTATGGTTGGTCCATGCACTTCCTCAGCTCGGTTCAGATGCCTCAACGGACGAATCGACTTGGCTAGTGGCCGAGCCGGCGAGGGTCTTGATGGGATAGTGTCTATCGTCGTCATACCCATACGTTGTCTCTGATAGTGTATCGCTGCGGCTTTTTCAGCTCTACCCGAAACCGGCCGTCCCCGGAACAGCCTGTTGAATGTGATAGGGCCTCCAGGTGGGCGTCGTGCCTTCCTTGTGTGATCAAAACGACGACAATAGAGACTCATTGGACGCTTTCTCAATTCGATCAAAAGCTCATCGAGATCCATACGATCACATGCCTTGCCGTTGATGCAGTGCAGAACATCTCCTCTAACCACACCACACTGGGCACCATACTTTCCTTCTTGGGCAACCGTGACCAAGAAAGGTGCTCTATCTGTGATCTCGAGGCCGAGAACGAACGGGACCGGAACCTCAGCGGAAAGATTAACCCCCACTGTCTGATGCCGTGGCGTCAAAAACTCGTTCTCGATCAACATGTTGTCCTTAGCATCTGATGTCACCATTCTTCGAACGACTCGTCTGATCCTCTCCAAAACCTTAGATATGTTGGGCCATCTGTCGGACTGTAACTTGGAGAACACCACCTGTTGATGCGGTCCGTGCACAACAGTGACCTCCAATGCACCAACACGTGGATCCTTGACGGCGACGATCTCGCCGACCTCTGGGAAGGCTTGGCTGATGCGACCAGCGATGTCCATGAACTGTGTGAAGTATCTCTCCTCATTGTGATGAGCACACCATGGATGTCTATAGCATCGCTGGCAGTACTCAATGAGAACCTTTACCGTCCCCTTGCATACTCCAGGAGCTGGAATCGCCTTATGCTTACTGGCCGATACCAACCTAGGTAGACTCACCGCGGAAACTGGCCTCGGACTCTCAGCCATAGAGTGTGTGAAATTAATCAACTACGAGGTAAGTGTATGACAAGTGGTTTCGCATTAGAACCTCAGCGTACTCAACCGACAACGGCGATTGTGGTAAGCAAACATTCACAATCTCACCAACTCTTTCCAACGAGTGTTTCTACTACCAACCGACAGTATAAACGCGCATACTCACGGGACAATGTAAACAATGGCAAACATCAAGAACGACACCTTGAACTCTACTATTGAGTTCGATTGACCAACGCACATCCATAGAGGGCTCAATATGATACTCTGTTTATGTGAATTGCATGAGAAATCAATCTTCGAGCTGAGCACTGACACAATACGCCTAACAGACTGCAGACGTGTGCGGTGATGGGATCCAGCTGAATGCAATCTATGCAAGCCTACAAATACTCACCCACAGTGGTTCAAAGGCTAGCGAAAAGTGATCTTAGAACAATCATACCACTTGGAATTCATACTAAGTCGGGGTAGAGGTTGGCGGGCAGTGTCTAATGTACAATTCTACAGTAGAGACGGTAGTAGCAATACTATAAAGGGTCCAAGTCTGCTGAGGCAGCTCTCTACGGGTGGGCACTGACTGTTGGTGTGTCAACGTCTTCAGTAGGATGGTCATTAGCCTGCCACCAAGGCGAGGCCAGCACTGCTTCTAAGGACAGGAACCTGAGCATGGACGCTTGAGGACATCCATAGCGGTAAATCGCCTCACATTCCCGGCTTATCACACGCTGTGAGTGTTCCTCTGAGTAAATCCCTCAAGGGTTTGCTCATATCAACACCGCGAGGTGCAACGCAAAACCTATTGCTCGAACTAGGCACTCGTTTAACCAGTGTTCTGACCTGAGGATATATCAGCTAAAGAGACGAGGCAGGCGGTGAAGACCCACGCCTCGTTCGCGATAGAGTCGATACTGCGGGTCGTCCCCACAAGCTAATTGCCACGGGGAGTTCCAGAGGAGGTCGAAAATCATCAAACCGACGGCCCAGGTATCTTGACGTACTGCTGACCAGTGCTTCTGAGAGAGCCACGAGTTTCATTTGTAGATAAGTTGACGGAGTTGCGGTACTCTCTCTCCTGGTGGAATGCCTCTCTCAGCCTGGACAGCGGCACGTTGAGCCTCGGGACATCGCGTGGAGGGTTTCCCAATGGTAGATCCAGAGTTGGTCGAGAGAGCTGAGAGCACGTGTTCGGTGGCATCGAAAAATCGTACAGGTGACCTGACCTGTTGCTTGCCCAGCATCGATGATCTTAACCTGGATCGGTTGTGGACCATCAAGTTCCAGACCAGAGCCGTAGCCTCGGAAGTCCATAACACCAAACTGGCTCATGTCGACGTCCAGCAAAGCGTAACTAAGCCCACAAGGTGAGTGAAAGGGACCAAATAGCTACGATTACTGCAACAACAGGATCACAGTAGTGGGAAATAACCACTACTAACATTACTACTATCACCACTCTCTCTCTCTCTATCGCTCGCAGCCGCATCATCACTATTAACATTACTACTACCATCGATTATTACTACATTACTACTACCATCACTACTAACACTACTACTACTACTACTATTACTACTACTACTACTACTACTACTACTACTACTACTACTACTACTACTACTACTACTACTACTACTACTACTACTACTACTACTATCATCACTACTACTACTACTACTACTACTACTACTACTACTACTACTACTACTACTACTACTACTACTAACATCGCTACTACGACCACTACTAGTACTACCCTGCATCGTGAACACACTTGCTGCATTCAATGGCCTGTCTCACAGCATCCTTGGCTGAATGATACCATCTGAGGCCCAGACAGCTTCCCTCAATTTGATACCTGATCGCGATCAATAGTAAAGGAAATGCCCGGCTAGTCATACGTACATGTCTTGGCAGCGAGTAACATACTGGCTGAGATCGCCATAGTTACAGTATTCCCTCACAAAGTAAGTGGCACCAGACTGACACCCAGTGCTAACCAACACTGGCTCGGACCCAGGCTGGCAAGTGAACGTCTTCAATGGACGAACCTGATGGACTCTCCGTCAGCTCCTCCACTGTTGAATGTCGTCAGCCTCCCGTATCACCGCACACCCATTGCCATCATCAGCCAATTGTGAGAGAAGTATCGACTCCCTCTCAGCGTCTTCAACTACCTGCACTTCAACATACGGGTTCCCCGCCTGTAAGTTCCCACCAGCTTTTTCATACGACTTTCAACGTCACGAGTTCCTAAGGCCTGGCGAGTCGCATCGAGATGGGTGTTGGGCCAGATCTTGGCTATAACCCTCTCATGGCGACTACATTGAGCATTCCTATTACGCATCAGGGCCACCTGACGACGAGCCGAGGTCTTGCCCGACCGAGTAAGGGCCGGTGAGTACCTTTCTTCCGCTGTAGGGGTTCTCATGAATGACTCCCACACATTCGAGGCCTTCCAGTGTCATTTTCTCAACGCACTGACAGGGTGGGATTCGGACCCGAGGGGCTCCATCGATGCTGTGCCTCATGCGCATTGCGATATGCTGTTGCTGCATAGCGAGGATTTCCTCATCAGGCGGGGCTGATGAGCCCTTCTGACACGCAACGCAGCATGACTAACTTCCTTCAAGTCGACCCACACCTCCTCTGGAGAGGCCCCTGTTGTTTTGGAGTACTTGCTTGGCAGGGACGGCCTTCGACCGTTGGTTGGAGTCATGGAAGATCGTGAACGACTACTCAGAGATGGACACGATCTGTGATAAGCTACCATCCTCCTGGAGTCGGGGACCGATGCCATACCACAACCACGGTCAGCAGCGGTCTGTAAAGGCTTTGACGCCGTAGAAGGGCGGAAAGTACAAGTGGAATTTACTAACCCACATTTCAAGCTCGAGAAATCATGTGCCAGCACGATTCTCTCAGAAAATGGCAAATGTGCAACGCTTCGCTCCGCCCTTATTTTGGAGACGTAGGTGACATGCGGGTTGTCAGCAACATGGTAGAAACAAGTCGCTTGTGTATAATAAATGGCAACAGCCAACCTGTTAGAGATGTACAAGGCCTTTACAGGTGGGCGCAGTATGGAGAGAATCTTATGTTGCTGACTGCGAGATGCGAAATTTGTCGGGATGAGTAGACACCGTAGTGATTCAGGTGGAGACACGATGATGGACGGCCGGCAGTTCGCGAAACTCTGTCGGGATTGCAACATCGTCGATAAGAAAGGCCTCAGCGTGAATGATACTGACATTGTTTTCGCCAAAGTGGCGGTCGAAAAGTCCTCACTAGCAAACTCGGTGCAACTAGGTACGGTCCCGTGGGGAACGCAAAATAAACTTTGGGCAATTCTTGGAAGCTATAGGGGAGGTGAGCGTCGGCGAGCGAAGAGCCCCGGCTCCTTCATCCGCCTGCCAGATCGCAAGCCGTCTTGATCAGCCCATAACATGGGTAGAAGAGAAAGTGGGGAATTCCGATGGACCGACTGTAAGTAGACGGTCGAGCCAAGCAAGCCCTATAAAATCTACTAGTGAGGTCACACTAACGTTGTGCTGGGGTTGTACAGTGGCACTGCTTCTCAGAGGTACATCACGGACCCTCGAGCGTTCTGTCGCCCGCCAGGTCGAGCCTTGACCCTAATACTGACGAGGTGGGGTTGTGTGCATGATCAGACCAGATGGTCAGTACCGACTGCTCTCAGTCTATACGAGGCCCCGAGAGATTCTTCTACGATCAGTCTTCCTACACGGGAGTAAATCTACATACGTTCCATGCCCGTTGGACCTCGGACCTCAGGTGTGGCGCAATGGTGGGCCTCGGTCTGTCGATAGTGGCCGTCCGAGCCAACAAGCAATAGGGAAGGTGATTGTGAGGCGATAGCAATGGCATCGACTAGTACTGGCTTAGTATGTGCAGACTTCAACTGCTGGAGTAACCAAGAGGGCCACTGGTAGCACATCAACGCCTGCTGGCAAAGTGAGTGGCCCAAGGCGTCTAGCCGGAGCATCTGTTCCCCCTCTCCAGGGTCGTGGCCCGGAGAGGTTCTTCTATGACACGTCGACTTACACTGGGGTGAGTACTGCGAAAGAAAACATATATATCCACTGACGAGCCTGGTACTGCAGGTCCATAAGGCTGGTGGCCCTGAGACTATTGACAACCACGACAAGGGTTTGGTCGAAGTGGGAAGTCCGTAGTCGGTGAGTTTGACCATCGATCGTATCATTCAGCGCCGAGGAGAAGGCACAGAAGGTAGGGGGAAAGCTTCACTGAAGAATGCCCGAGCTGCCGATGGTCGTAAAACAAATCCCGTGGCCAACGTAAAGCAATTTGGAGGAAGATGCAGCTTTGGACACTGCCGCGTATCAGGCGATCGGTCCTGAACGTTTTTTCTACGACTCTAAAACGTACACTGGAATTCACCGTGGGAAGTAAATCGCGGACTGGAATATCTCGGGGCCGTCTTATAATCATCTTAATGCTTGCATACTTTGTTCGAATATTGTTGTCGCGCGGCAGTGTTGTGTGATTCAGTGAGTTAGCCTCGTTGGTGCGTTCTTTCCTAAGGCTTCCATATAATGGTTGCTTTGCTGGCCTGTAGATAGTCTCTCACAGTCGCTCCCAGACTTCAAGCTCGCTCCAGCGCCATTTATCCCTATTCTCGCTTAGCCCTATTCCGCGTAATTAACGACCCACATCATGAGTGCAAGACGAGAGTAGCTGACCAGAGGGTTTGTTTTATCATCTGATTTGTACACGTGATTCTCTGAATATTCCAAGGAGGTTAGAGCGCGAGGTTGCTTGTGCGCAGCGAATTCTCCGAGGCTTTAAATTACTACGCAACGGAGCTCAGAATTGCACGTAAGATATGTGGTATTCTGAGCCTTGATATGTCACACTGTCACATTGTGACATAACAGAAGTACACAGGGAAGCGTTGCACTCGGCGAACATAAAATAGCTTCACACGCGATTTCATCGCGGTTCGTAAGATTTTCTCCTGTTTCCGACGTAAAACTGTTTTTTCGCGAAAAACTTTGTGTTAACTGCGTTATGCGCAGTGTAAAACGCGCTTAACACAATACTATGCGACAAGAATCTGTGCACCATCCATCGATTCCCCGGCCGCCAGTATATCCATAGACACAGAAAGTCTCACCATCATGTCATAATGCTTCATTAAGGCATCATTATGATGCCTTATTGAGGAATGTGAGCGTGGGGACTCCCCACGCCTTTTCTCCCATGCTCCCCACTGGGGAGCATGGGAGAAACGGCGGGTTTCTGAAGCGGTTTAGCTATAAGCACAGAGCACATGATAATGTGCGTAGAGCTCGCAATAGGCCGCCCAGGCTCGATTGCATTTGCCGAATTCTCCCGCACTCCGAAACCCTGTACCACCAGCAGACGCGCATCGGCAGATGAAACTGCTTATATACCCTACGAGGTATAAGTCCTATTCCTCGCAGCAAGAGGCTTTGAAACCCGACAAAGGGCTCTGCACGATTCTAGAGTCGTTCTCTAACACTATCAGGCACTGGTCTCGTCTCACTCGATATCTCACCAAGCTTACGTATCATCACCCTATTCAGCATTCTACGTTTCCATCATGAAGCTAGTCGATCTTACTTTGACAATGTTTTCTGTAATTCATCACGTGGAAGTCCACTCGTCATGTGTGGAGTACTATGAACTCCGAAGATTATGCATCACATCACAACACCTTCAAGTCACATCACAACATTTTCAAATCACATCACACGGGAAGGATCCCTAGCCGAACTAGAACTTTTTGTATGGGTGTAAGACCTTCTGAAGTACTTTCTTCTTCTTCTGGAAAGACTCACGGAGGCCTTTCCACCAGCCTCGTCCACTCCTCAAACGGCCAGCTTCTTCGTCGTCGTCGTCATCATCATACCTATCAGAACCGTCACTATCCCAGGTATGCAGATTTTTTCTCGTGATTTCATAGGATTCCAGAAATAGATGCCTTGATTCCGGCTCCAAGATGAGGGTATGATCCTTGAGATTAGATTCATCTCTTTGGTCGTGGTACGTCACCGATATGACGTGGCCAACTCCGAAATATGACAACTTGTGTATTTCTTTATTCACGTTCGCATGATTTCCCGACGTTAAGTCATTAATTCGTCCGCCTGTCACATTAGTCTTCAGGCTTTTGCCGTATTGTTGCTTGCCCGAGTATGTACCATCCTCGATCTGCGAGGCATCAGAAGTGGTAAGGATTTTGAACCCTCCACAGATTCGCAGATCTCGTTCAGTTCAGTCAGGACGGC